GGTCAGCCACAGAATCCCCATGGAGACAAGCTCTGGGGACTTACCTCAGACTGACATCAAGAGACAAGTCTGAGGCCCTGGGAACTAACTCAACAAGTATGTGGTCGTCTTGGTCTTGTTCAAGGAGTGTATTCTTAAAAAAAAAGAACCCATTTCTTGTTCCTCCAAGAAGCGGGGATGACGTGATGGTTGCAGCCTAGTGGTTAAAGCTTTTGCTCGTCAAGCCTTAAACCTGGGTTCGATTGCCAACAATGTGTGAAGTCCATTTCAGGCATCCCCCACTGTGATATTGCTAAAAGCAACATAAAACTATACTCACTCACTCCTCCAAGAACACATAAAGATTTGGGTTAGAATTGATTTTCAGTAACCCATTCTTGTCGTAAGAGGCGGGTAACGGATCGGGTGGTCAGGCTCGCTGACTTGGTTGACACGACTTGGTTGACACGTCATCGTATCCCAATTGCGTAGTACGATGCTCACGCTGTTGATCACTGGATTGTATGGTTCAGACTTTATTATTTACGGACCGCCACATATAGCAGGAATATTGTGGAGTGCAGCATAAAACTGTACTCACTCCTCCAAGAAGACTTGGCAGTATGAACATGCAAAGTGTATGTTAAGTCATGGGGTTTAGGATGTATTACTAGTCTGGTTCAATACGCAACACAGAGATAGATAAAAACAATTTATTATCACAGTGAACAGTGAGTGACACTTGGCATTCACAAGACGCTGAAGCTGCATCCATGACAAGCGGACATGGACAGAATGGCCGAGACCTGCTCCCACCCCAGCCTGCTTGTGTCGTTTAAGTCTACTAACTTTCTTTTCAGCTGACACAGAGAAAATTAGGAGATTTCAGATTCTCGTTACCAAGAAAAGGCTCAGATGGTGAATATGTCTTTACGGACGTGAATTGTGGAGTAGCCTCATGGTTTAAACATTTGCTTCTCAAACAAAAGACCTGGGTTTGATTCTCTACATGTTGGTTCCTTGTTTAGCGACATACTTGGCAATGTTCCATCTGTATCATGGCTGCCTTTAAATAATCGGGTCTGGACCAGGCTAATGATTGCTAACTGTGAGCAGTGTGTGAGTGTTAAACTGTTTTCTCCAGTACGTCATGTTTGCTTGATGTGCGAGAGTGGACAATGTCCACTTTAATCAGACCAGTGTTCTAGTTTGTGTTGACACCAAGTATCATAATCATGCTGTTGATCACTGGATTGTCTGGTCCAGACTCGATTATTTACAGACTGCTGCCATACAGTTGGAATAATGCGGAGTGTGGCTTAAACAACAAACGAACAAAAATCACAATCAGGGCCATATTGGGCTTGAAACCAAGTACTGTATTGGCAGATCCTGGTACATGTAAGGGAGGCAATTCAGTTGGAATAGCCTCTTTAGATTTCAGCCAGGTGGGAGTGGAGCAGTTCTCTACATGATGAGTAGAAAAGTATTGCCATGGCAACCAACAATAAAAGCAGTTCACATAGTACGCCGACGGCATCAGTGCTCTCGCCATTATCAACTCCTACAACTGGTCTAACCTTCCAATAATTACTGATGCCAAACATTTTAAAATAGGACATCATTTTCAACAGACTCTCCTAAAGGTTACATATGTTATATTTGGGATTACACTTTCTTAGTAAAGTACAACTTCTAGTACTTTTGGGGTTGAGTCCCATCCGGATTCAAACCCACACCCTCAGAGTCAGGCACCTAATCACCAGCATCTGTTTAATGACAAAAGGTTGTTTTTAAGTTACAAAGTGTTCAAAATGTATGTATCCAGATATCCTGCTCCACACAAAGAGATATTAACACTCCACAAAGAGATATCATCATGCTCCACAAAGAGATATCAACACTAATATATAATCATATTAACACTAATATCCACAAAGAGATATTAACACTAATATCATCATCCACAAAGAGAACTCCCACAGTCGACAAAGAGATATTAACACTAATATAATCATGTTCCACAAAGAGATATTAACACTAATATCATCATAACTCCCACAGTCTAATACCGTGCTAATATTGGAACAGCTTTAGGACCAACACCCTTTAATTACATGCAGTTCTTCACTTCACACATTTAAATGTTGATTAACAATCATTATGCTGGACTATATTGGGTGTTCTACTCTAGTATCAGTATTTGTTGCTCCATTGTATCCATGGCAACAATGAAATGTATAGTTTCTGTTGACATTAGTTTCTGCGAAAGCACTGCGACCATCCGGCTTCTTGAAAGACTTGATTTGCTCTCTACTAACACAGTGTGTACAACATACATCTAAATCTACATACACGCATAAAATCATAATCCTACGCCAAAACAAATCACTATGAAAGATACATAAAGAAATAATGATTTCAACAAAATTTGATTTTACATTAAGTATTCTTTTGTTATGAAAGAAAGTCTTGATTTGATGATGGGGATATTTGATTCATAACTTTTTAGTCTTACATATCACTGTATTTGAGATCCTTCAAATCTCACCATAGTGCCACACAAAACACTATTAAACACCTGTTTTGTCAACAGGCCTCCCTCCGAAAGTTTTGATTGAGTTGAATGACTTATTGATTAAATATCATTTTATGACCAAGTCAGAAATATTCTAGCTGTAACACAGACCCCTTGTGTCTGCAGACACTGGAACAAAATGCTAATAAACTAGGATAATAATCAAACCAGTTTAGTAATCTTAGACTGAAACCTAGCAGCAGATCCTAAGGGAGACAACTCTGCAAGTGCCTGATATATTGCAGTATGATACACATGTTCAGGGCAAGTAGACAGAGAAGTGCTTGCATATTTATGAATAATTGTTGCTGTTCAAACTGTGCCTTATGGAACAATGGATATACTATTCACACTTTGTTAAGGATCAAATAATTGATTCAACCAAAAACTATGATGTGGGGTCTAATTTGGTTTAAATATCTAAGCTTATTGAGGCATGGACCCTAGGTTTCAGTATGTCACTGCATCTTGTGGATCCCATACCTGCTATTGACAGGTGTACTTGTCAATGACTCATTCCATGATTTGCAAAATGGTTGATTGGTGCCATGAAAACCATTTTTATGGTTATTCATGTATCAAATGCATAAGGTTAGATTGAAGTGACTGTTTGCCTAAAGAGGGTTTACCTTATTATTATTTATCCAGTTTTAAATGGATACAATTTCAAATTATAAATCTATCTTTAGGTAAAGTTGGGAATTTTTGTGATCCTTAGCAAAGTGTGAGTAGTATATATTGTCAGGAGAGAGAATTTCAAGGTTTAAGTGTTTTGATTGCAATATTTTACAAACAGAAAAAGATATACATTCTGCAAGAACAAAAAGCACTAAACTCATTCAAGAAAAATGTACAACAGTTTAACAAAATAAATTATACAACATAAAATATACAACAAAATATATTACACTTTTCAATTTTCATAAAAATATTACACAATCATAAAACATTAAAAAATGTCAAACACATGAAAATTTGTAATGGACCATGTCCAAATAACAAGATTAATGTTCTAATTCAGATAGACAAACCTAATATCTTTTACAAAATCTCTTCTTATCCTGGTTTCATAGCCCAGAAAGTATATGCACCTCAGAAGGAAACAACCATTGTTTTCCTTGAACAAACTAGTCAAGGAATTTGCTGTAGTATAGAAATAAAACAAAATGTAATAACAACATACATCTTTACATTCTAGACACTAATATTTGATTCACAACCGAATATCTAAAGCTTTTTTTCCATATATCTGTAAGTAGAAACGTAAGTGGCTCTTCTATCTGAAATAATTTCCTAGGTCATAACATATCTATCAAGGTAAGTAGAGATTCTATTTAGAGTGTCGCCATATGTGTTGTCATGGAAACACTATGTTGTGATGCAACTGTACACACACAGTATCAAGATTTAAAATAGATTTGGAATGGTAACTTGATGTCACTAGTTTTGAGATTTTGCTAACAATTTGATTGACTTTCCATCAAAACAGAAAAAACAAAAGTTTAACTACCTATTCTGAATATAATTGCAATAAAAGTACCAATCTTCCTTCCACGCCTGGCTATCTTAAGATTAGACATCACCTTAAGATACATCACAAACAGTGGATACAGGGAGTACTGCAAGACCCATGGAACCAACAGGCTAGTCGTCGTTACCATGGCGATAAGTTATGTCTCAAATAGCTGACTGTGATGAGTATCTCATGTACTTGTAAACATGATCAGTCATCCTTCCCAGTACCGTGGTGGACTATAGACAGGTCCCATTGGTTTAACACACTGTCAGGAACAAGGTCCAGGTTTGAGATGCTCTCTCACGTCCTCCTCTACACCGATGAGGCTCTGAAACTAGCTTCCAGTCAACATATTAAGAGAATATTTTCCAAGGTTGTTAAAAGTCACTCCTTCGCATAAAATACCCATTCACCCTTGTGTTTTTATACAGCCCTCTTAATGATAAAACAGTATGTGCAATTCTGACTGATCTTACAATGATCTACAGTTTGATGATCCTTGATGAAGGGAACACACTTATTTAGAAGCAGGAGCCATGATACTAAATCTCTATTTTGGTATTGCTGCAGAGAAATCTCATAGAAACATTTGCTCAAATCATGATGCAAAATCTATGTTATGGTAATGCTATTAAGAAATCTCATAAAAACATTTGCTGAAATTATGAATATGTCAAGATGACATTTGTGTCAAGGAAATCAGTACACAAACAGTCAATCTCCAATAGTCAATCTCCAGTATAGTCAATCTCCAATACAGTCAATCTCCAATGCAGTCAATCTCCAGTATAGTCAATCTCCAATACAGGCAATCTCCAATACAGTCAATCTCCATAATAGCCAACTCAACATCATTCAATATCACCACTGTTATCACAGGCTTGTGACTTAATAATCTAATCAGGTTAACTATGTAGGGGGCAGGAGATATATGAACTTATCAGGTCAACTATGGTAGGCAGCAGGAGATATATGGACTTATCAGGTCAACTATGGTAGGGGGCAGGAGATATATGGACTTATCAGGTCAACTATGTAGGGGGCAGGAGATATATGGACTAATCAGGTCAACTATGGTAGGGGGCAGGAGATATAAGGACTTATCAGGTCAACTATGATAGGGGGCAGGAGATACACGGACTTATCAGGTCAACCATGATAGAGGGCAGGAGATATAAGGACTTATCAGGTCAACTATGGTAGGGGGCAGGAGATATAAGGACTTATCAGGTCAACTATGGTAGGGAGCAGGAGATATATGGACTTATCAGGTCAACTATGGTAGGCAGCAGGAGATATAAGGACTTATCAGGCCAACTATGGTAGGGGGCAGGAGATATATGGACTTATCAGGTCAACTATGTAGGGGGCAGGAGATATATGGACTAATCAGGTCAACTATGGTAGGGGCAGGAGATATAAGGACTTATCAGGTCAACTATGGTAGGGGGCAGGAGATATAAGGACTTATAAGGACCATGATAGAGGGCAGGAGATATAAGGACTTATCAGGTCAACCATGGTAGTTGGTGCAGGAGATATAAGGACTTATCAGGTCAACTATGGTAGTTGGATAGAGGGGCAGGAGGACTTATCAGTCAACTATGGATATATGAACTTATCAGGTCAACTATGTAGGGGGCAGGAGATATATGGACTTATCAGGTCAACTATGGTAGGGGCAGGAGATATATGGACTTATCAGGTCAACTATGTAGGGGCAAGAGATGTAAGGACTTATCAGGTCAACAATGGTAGGGGCAGGAGATATATGGACTTATCAGGTCAACTATGTAGGGGGCAGGAGATATAAGGACTTATCAGGTCAACTATGGTAGGGGGCAGGAGATATAAGGACTTATCAGGTCAACTATGGTAGGGGGCAGGAGATATAAGGACTTATCAGGTCAACTATGGTAGGTGGCGGGAGATATAAGGACTTATCAGGTCAACTATGGTAGAAGGGGAGATATATGGACTTATCAGATCAACTATAGTAGGGGGCAGGAGATATACAGACTTATCAGGGCAACCATGATAGAGGGCAGGAGATATATGGACTTATCAGGTCAACTATGGTAGGGGGCAGGAGATATAAGGCTAAAGATTGCCTTATGTTCCCATCTACCCGCTGAGTATAAAACCCGAGGTCCTGTGAATGAATACCCAGATTGGTCTACTCCTCAGTGTAGAGTCAGTCTGTATGTTGATGTACGCCTGGGTCACTGATCCAACTCACAACATATGCTCACCTTTGCCTGTGGTCAAAGGGAGACAATACCGTTGTTGCCGGATGCCAGCCACTATGAATATGGAGCTAAAGACAATATAACCCTTCCTGGTTGCTGAACTACAAATCTGAGACAGAGAAGTCAGGATGCTCATCTCGTCATGGATGGAAGGTCAGTGCATGCAGACTGATGTGTGTAACCATGGTGATATAGTGATTAATGTGTTGATGATACGAGGGATATACAAGAGAGAGGGGATATATGACACATATTCCACATCAGTGATAACATGATCTGCTCATGAGAGGTAGAACTTCCAGTTGCAAGTTGAATATATGTGTGACAGGAAATACGTGAAGTTAGCATGTGTACAAGTAAACATGGTTACCATGCCAACAGAACATTCTGTACGGCGTAGGTGCTGTACCAAACTCCACTTAACCCCCTCAGTGCTAGTACCAACAAGTGTTAGAATCTAAAATTTGTTTAGGCAAGACTGTATATATTACCTTGTCTACAGATTCTCATTGAAAAGAAACATTTGGAAAGCACAAGCAAATGCAATCATGTTCCTCACATCGTGTTCCTCACATCGTGTTCCTCACATTGTGTTCCCAACAATCATGTTCCCCACAATCATGTTCCCAACAACCAAGTTCTTGATAATATGTTCCACACAAAACTAAAGCCTGCATTAGGCAAAACTGCAAACTCCAAAGTTACAACACATTTACATAACATTGTGAAAAACAAAAATACAGTCTGAAATGTCTTTCATATTTCATGTTCAATTCATTCATTTCTTAATTCTGAGGAACGTGAGTCCACTATGGAACAATGTGTCATTTATGAAACTTTTGATATCATACTGATATTACAGTAATTTATTTAGACATTGCAGTAATCTCCCATTCCCATCCTTGTAACAGAAACAAGGGCCCTGCCCTATGTACAGATATATAAATAACACGAGAGTTTGTACATCACTGGACCAGCAACAGAAGCACATATATGGCAGATTATATATGTTATTGATTACATGATAGCCGGTATAAAACACACACTGTTCTACAGCATTTGTTCGTCACCGCATTGCTTGTATATCATCTGTACATTCCATACAGTTGGACAGCATCGTCTGTATAGGCTGGAAAACAGCTGATCATCCAAAGATCACACGACCAATATTGGCATTAATGATTAGATTGTCAAATTTCATTGTTAATATTAAATTGAAATTTAGAACATATCCCCAAATCCCCTGTTTGTTTCACCGAATATTTAAAGAACAATGTTTGAAAACAAATAGTCAGTTACACAATGTGTATCACATCAACAACATATATGGGGAACTATCTTCATAGTACGAACAACAGGGTGTTGCCTAGCAACGCTGGGAATGCCACCAACATCAGCCTGAGAGGAATAGAGGAACATTTAGTACCTTTACTTCATGATGGTTCCAGTCAATAATATTTACCAAGTAATTTGTATGTTACCATAGTAACAAAATTTGCACATGGTCAAAATATTACAAATAGCCTGGAATGTTGAGATGAATCAGGTGATCAGCAATGATAGTCGATGATATATACATCGGTCAGTACGAGGACCACAACGACAACATGGAATACGTCTCTGATGACGGCACGTACACACGGAAGAATCCTTCCACATACACACAGAGGAATCCTTCATCTTTATAATAATAATAGTTGTTAGGAGTCACTGTGTTGTCAACAACATCCATGACGACAATAACAACATGCAACCATGACAACGGAGGAAACATTCATCCCCCAACAGCTGACCTTCAGCTGACCTTCAGCTGACAATATGGTGGTAGGGTCACTATTACAGACAAGTGTACAACAGCATCACCAACGGCTACTACTCTCGACAGCATGATTACAGTTATCGCAACTACACTACAATTATTGAATGTTCCCACTGCATGTTAAGACCTTTAGTCCTGAGCTCAAAGAAGCCTACAACAACTCTGTGTGTGTGTGTGTGTGTGTGTGTGTGTGTGTGTGTGTGTGTGTGTGTGTGTGTGTGTGTGTCAGTGTGTGTGTCAGTGAATGCAATTTTTACACTAAGTCATTTGTACACCTTTAATATCGACCATCCCGTCCTCCATCCAGATGCCAGATCCCAAACTTGAGGAAACTAGAAAGAGGTAATGAAGGCAACTGGCATCTGGAATAAGTAATTAGAAATCAGTAATCATTATCTGCATGCCTGGCTATAGCGCTTCAATGATAATTGATCTCTTGTATTATATTGATTTACTCAATATTCCATCACAGGCCGTGTAAAATAATTATTACCTGATTATCTATATGACTTACAAGGTCAAGGTCAATATCCAGTTTAAAACAGGCTATGTTTCTGGGACAAAATTTATAACACCTGTATATAAACTGGTGGTCTAAATAAGGTAATGGTGGACCTCACAGCTAGATCAACGTAATCACATAACACCACAAGTTTAAGGAGATGTGTACAAAGGTTCCATGGTATCCATCTGTGAGTAAACGTGAGAGAATAAGTACATGTCATGATTCAACCTTGGCTGTGACCTTCATGTAAGACTTGAGTAATGGGACGTCATATCTATATCTAACCTCTGAAATCTCAGCTAACTCACCTAACATAGCACTGATTTTAAAGATTTGTACAAGGGGTCACCTTTTACGTGGGGGTTGCTTAATCACTGGCGATATACTTTAAGTGCTTAACCCTGCAAATGACTTTAAAACTGAACCTCAATATAAGTGATAAGTATATAAAAATAGTCAAAATGATTTTAAGTAGATTAATAAAACCTGATGTCTCTGTGATGCCGGGCAGTACTGAATGTCATAATATGTTCCTCATTGGAAGTAGGTCACAGTGACCTACCGTGAAATGACAAATGTCATGTTGACACAGATGTCTTAAGGTCACTGACCTATAAAGCACCTATTACAGAGGGATTCACCAGTCTGCTGTCTATTTTCAGTCTAGGTCTAGACCAAGGTCCATCCCAGTGAGTGACACTTCTTGTCATCCTCCCAGTATCACTGCTGCCACCATGTGGCCATTAAAATAATTATGAGAAATCCTTAACTGGGCTGTCACTGCGAGGAGCTTGGGTCTTGACATTGTCAAAAGTCTTTGTCAACCGGGGAATATTTTCTCCATCTAATTAGGGCAACACTAACATGTTACACATCACAGAACTGAGTTACCAGACAGAGGAACAAAATTGATGGACTGGACACATGGCCCAGTTAGGGTCAGGACACATTCAAAGACTTCACACACCTAGAGGTGCCCACCACTAGGTCACGTTGGATCTACCCATGCTAGAGTTCGGTCAGTAATGGTTACACCATGTACAAGACAACAGTCTGAAGTCTGACAAGACATCACAGCAGTTCTGTTTCCCGGGGAAGGAAACGTGTCTCTCCCACTCCATCTTGATCATCAGTTCACCTCACGACTTCATCACGTCAAATATAACTCTTCAACATATCAGCAACTCAATACGGCCAAGATCATGTCTAGCAGAACCATACATGATCAATAAATATCTCCTGATAAATAGTTAGATAGTACAAGTGTTTTGAATGTAGATACATCCATGAATACATCTGAAACATTGACATACATCAACCATGTATTGATACATCTACACGCAACAAGATAAATGCTTTGTGGCACGATTTGCAGTCTGCCATTTACATATTGGCACATGTGATGTTAGTTTCGTGTTGCCCTCAAACCTGTCCACCATATTTACAAATGTAAGAAAATATTCTCATCCCATGATGCATATCTATTGTACACACACTAGTTATCTCCCTTGTCTCAGCGACACAGTACCGGTTCGACACTATTCACACATTACATCAGCATAGAAAACATAAACTTGCACTCAAGGGAAACATGAAAACAAAGGACTATCCTGTAAACATGAAATCTGAACAGCCAAATATTCTATCAGATGTAGTTTACAAGTAACCTGATTTTTCAGCTAGACAAGCACCTGATCTAGATATGCTGATACCAACAGCTATGTCTATATATCCTAAGACATTTCATGTAAGTACTTGCCGAGGCAACTATACAGCTATTGCAAAAAGACCTTAATTGGGTAACAAAACAAAATCTTCTGCCATTTCTTCACACAATTTCTTCAGCTGGTCCCTGTGTCCTGATTTGTCTGAATTCTTCCAAATTATCATTATCATCATCATCATCATCATCATCCTCATCATTTTCATCATCTTCGTCATCATCCAAATCCTCCACATTTCCATTGGTCGATGGGTTTGTGGGTAGAGCCCCTGCCCCTTGGTCCTCACTTAAACTAGTAACCTCCCCTGATATGTCTTCTGCTGTAGTTGCTTCCCTTTCTTCCCCCTGCAGAGTGATCTCCCTTTGCTGTCCCCCTTTCTGCCTCTCCTCCTCCTCAGCATCGAGACAGTGCTGTAGACCGGCACAGTAATGCAGCAGCAACATCATCATGGCCTCGATCTTCTCGTCAGATTTGCTCACTTGATTCTCCAGGAATCGGCGCTAAAATCAGAAACATGTGAATGTAAGACGCTAACACTCTTTGGTAATTCACTACCATTCATCCCTTTCAGTAACCTTCTTAGATGTCGACAGTTGTAAAATGGAATGGTTCTTGTTCGGAATGGAGTGCAGCAAACACTGATTAACTCTACTTTAGCATTATCTCACAAGGTTTCCATGGTTACAGGTCTGAGTCAAAGTTACCATGGTCACGGATCAGGGGCAAGGTTACCACAGTAGAAGATCTTGGGCAAGGTTACGATGGCAGCAGAGCAAGGGTAAGGTTACCATGGTGACTGATCAGGGACAAGGTTACCAAAGTAGAAGATCAGAGACGGTTACCATAGTAGAAGATCAGAGTTACCATGGTTGCTTATCAGGGAGAAGGTTACCATAGTAGAAGATCTGGGGCAAGGTTAAGATGGCAGCAGACCAGGGGTAAGGTTACCATGGTGACTGATCAGGGACAAGGTTACCATAGTAGAAGATCAGAGGCAAGGTTACCATAGTAGAAGATAAGAGGCAAGGTTACCATAGTAGAAGATCAGAGACAGTTACCATAGTAGAAGATCAGAGTTACCATGGTCGCTGATTAGGGAGAAGGTTACCATAGTAGAAGATCTGGGGCAAGGTTACCATGACAGCATTGATGCATTTGTTCTCACCTGGATGTGGTCTGTGGTCTCCTTGGCTGCTCGGCACAAGGTGCCCTTGTTGTCTGTCTCATGGTCGATCTCCTGCTGCAGCTTGGACACCTAAATAACAGAAGAGAGTGAACATCTGTCTTTCTTTGGTTGGGGAAAAGAGTGTTACTTCCTCACTGTAACATTTACCAGTCCTTGGATAGAGAGTACCTCATCACATCATCCACCATTCTCAACACCCTCATCAAAGCCCCAAGATCTGCTCTCAATGCCACATCTTTCATCTCAAATCTCTGTAACTAAGTCCTTAATCGCTAAGTTTTATATTTCATAACCAGACAATGACTGCATCGAGAAGCTTGTCATGTTCCCTAGTTACCATCTGATCCAACTTCTGCTTCCGTTCCTCCACCTGGAGTTCCACGAACAGTTCGCGACCCATCTGTTTGGCAGCCGTGACGACCGTCTCGTCTAAGTTGTTGCCTTTGATCTTGGTCTGCTGGTCATGTATCATCTTCAGGACACTTTTCTTCTCCTCATCCGACTCCGAGGAACTGTCAGCTGCATCGCGTGCATCCTGGAATCAGAACAGAAGGCTGAAGAACAGGAACCCAGTAATGTGTATTTGAATTCCATGAGGGATTAGAAGGCACAGAAGGACATTAGTGTGTAGTGTGGCCAGACTGAGCTTCAGTTGCAACATGCTGACATAAGCATGGTCAGACTTGCTGACTTGGTTGACACATGTTATCATATCCCAATTGGGTAGATCATGCTGTTGATCACAGGATTGTCTGGTCCAGACTCGATTATTTACAGACCGCCGCCATATAGCTGAAATATTGCTGAGTGCAGCGTAAAACCAAACTCACTCACTCAGTATGCCTGACACAGAATTGGGTTCTGGGGCTCTGGGAACTACAAGATGGACCAACACCTGACTATATTCCTACTGCCCTATGTGTGTAATGGCCGCACACAGAGACCAACTTGGTTAATTTCTTGGGCTAGCCAGTTCACAGTCTCACAAACCTGTCTGAACAGATCACCATCAAATACCACAGACAACTTCATACATCAACCATTAACTCACTCACTTAACCACTACCTGAAATGTGCTCCCTGACTTCCCACCAAAAATTGTCGCTTGGCAACCACACATTAGCAATTCCACATTGGCAACTCTCTTTGGCCACCATTAACTTCAAACCACTCTCTGACAAATGCTTACCATTGTAGAGTCTGGGTCCTGTTTGAAGAATGGAAACCTCCTAGGTGGGGTGGGGCTGGGGCGGGGTGAGGGACGTGGAGAGGGTCGAGGGGAGGGTCGAGGAGAGGGGCGTGGGGAAGGATTAGGCGATGTGGCTTGATCAGTCATCTTCCGACTTAACACAGGGCTTGCACTTGGGCTCTTTGCTGAAACACAAAACAACATTTAACATTCAGACTAAAACTTCTCCTGTAATGTGTTGTCCTCTTTTTCGACAAATGTTATACTGACAGTCATTTTGAAATATGCAAACCTTTATCCTGTTGATTGAACAAAAATGAAAGTCTTGAACAAAGCAACCAACAAAATGTTGCTGGTATAATATCTAAAAATTAGCAACATCTTTCAAATGCTTCATCAACGTTTTAGTGACTATTTAACTTTCCTCAGATACCCCCAACCGGCTGTCAACATGGCCTCAACGACATGAAGGTGTGCATCAATGCACAAGGTAGACATGTGTGTGTCACTAATGTAACACGACTGCCAGGAACAGACTCAACATCCTCACTGCTACTCATCACCAAAGCTTCCATCCATGTCAGCCATTCTTTCCATCACAATGACTCATTGTGAGAACTCTGTGTGGTGATCAGGTTCTTGTAGCATAAGGGTCATCAAATAGCCGACATCTAATTACTTAACAAGGTTAAGATAAAGTCTCACATTGTTGTTCTAACTTAGGCACCAGGTTGGACGTGTCCTTGGTGCGGAACTTGCTCAGGAGGCGTCCAGTTCGACTCTCCTCAGTAGAAACTTTCTTCCGCACTGTCACAGGTGTCTTCCAATCCTCCGTTGGTTGGCTTCGTTTCTTGGCACCCTCCCTGAAACACAAACACAGGGTTCAGACAAACAGCCAAAGCTTCAGGGTTCAGACAAACAGACACATTCACAGGGTTCAGACAAACATAAACAGGCTCAGGGTTCAGACAAGTTGCCACAGGGTTCAGGCAAACTGTCAGAGGCTTAGGTTCATGGTTCAGACAAGGTGCCATAGGTGCATTGTTCAGATAAACAGATGTAGAGGGTTCAGACAAACTCTACATTCTGTGAAACAGCAACACACTCATCATCCAGACAAACAGTCTCTGGGTTCAGATAAACAGCAACACACTCATCATTCAGACAAACAGTCTCAGGGTTCAGACAAACAGCAACACACTCATCATCCAGACAAACAGTCTCAGGGTTCAGACAAACAGCAACACACTCATCATTCAGACAAACAGTCTCAGGGTTCAGACAAACAGCAACACACTCATCATCCAGACTAACAGCAGCAAGCTCTCAGTTCAGACAAACAGCAACACACTCATCATCCAGACAGTCTCAGGGTTCAGACAACCAGCAACACACTCATCATTCAGACAAACAGTCTCAGGGTTCAGACAAACAGCAACACACTCATCATTCAGACAAACAGTCTCAGGGTTCAGACAACCAGCAACACACTCATCATCCAGACAAACAGTCTCAGGGTTCAGACAAACAGCAACACACTCATCATCCAGACAAACAGTCTCAGGGTTCAGACAACCAGCAACACACTCATCATTCAGACAAACAGTCTCAGGGTTCAGACAACCAGCAACACAGTCATCATTCAGACAAACAGTCTCAGGGTTCAGACAACCAGCAACACACTCATCATTCAGACAAACAGTCTCAGGGTTCAGACAAACAGCAACACACTCATCATTCAGACAAACAGTCTCAGGGTTCAGACAAACAGCAACACACTCATCATCCAGACAAACAGTCTCAGGGTTCAGACAAACAGCAACACACTCATCATCCAGACAAACAGTCTCAGGGTTCAGACAACCAGCAACACACTCATCATTCAGACAAACAGTCTCAGGGTTCAGACAAACAGCAACACACTCATCATTCAGACAAACAGTCTCAGGGTTCAGACAAACAGCAACACACTCATCATTCAGACAAACAGTCTCAGGGTTCAGACAAACAGCAACACACTCATCATCCAGACAAACAGTCTCAGGGTTCAGACAAACAGCAACACACTCATCATTCAGACAAACAGTCTCAGGGTTCAGACAAACAGCAACACACTCATCATCCAGACAAACAGTCTCAGGGTTCAGACAACCAGCAACACACTCATCATTCAGACAAACAGTCTCAGGGTTCAGACAAACAGCAACACACTCATCATTCAGACAAACAGTCTCAGGGTTCAGACAAACAGCAACACACTCATCATTCAGACAAACAGTCTCAGGGTTCAGACAAACAGCAACACACTCATCATCCAGACAAACAGTCTCAGGGTTCAGACAAACAGCAACACACTCATCATTCAGACTAACAGCAGCAAGCTCTCAGTTCAGACAAACAGCAACACACTCATCATCCAGACAAACAGTTCAGACAACAGCAGCAAGCTCTCAGTTCAGACAAACAGCAACACACTCATCATCCAGACTAACAGCAGCAAGCTCTCAGTTCAGACAAACAGCAACACACTCATCATCCAGACAAACAGTTCAGACAACAGCAGCAAGCTCTCAGTTCAGACAACCTGCAACACACTCATCATCCAGACAAACAGTCTCAGGTTTCAGACAAACAGCAACACACTCATCATTCAGACAAACAGTCTCAGGTTTCAGACAAACAGCAACACACTCATCATCCAGACAAACAGTTCAGACAAAAGCAGCAAGCTCTCAGTTCAGACAAACAGCAACACACTCATCATCCAGACAAACAGTTCAGACAAAAGCAGCAAGCTCTCAGTTCAGACAAACAGCAACACACTCATCATCCAGACAAACAGCAGCAAGCTCTCAGTTCAGACAAACAGCAACACACTCATCATCCAGACTAACAGCAGCAAGCTCTCAGTTCAGACAAACAGCAACACACTCATCATCTAGACAAACAGCAGCAAGCTCTCAGTTCACACAAACAGCAACACACTCATCATCCAGACAAACAGTTCAGACAAAAGCAGCAAGCTCTCAGTTCACACAAACAGCAACACACTCATCATTCAGACAAACAGCAGCAAGCTCTCAGTTCAGACAAACAGCAACACACTCATCATCCAGACTAACAGCAGCAAGCTCTCAGTTCAGACAAACAGCAACACACTCATCATCTAGACAAACAGCAGCAAGCTCTCAGTTCACACAAACAGCAACACACTCATCATCCAGACAAACAGTTCAGACAACAGCAGCAAGCTCTCAGTTCAAACAAACAGCAGCAAGCTCTCAGTTCAGACAAACAGCAACACACTCATCATCTAGACAAACAGCAGCAAGCTCTCAGTTCAGACAAACAGCAACACACTCATCATCCAGACTAACAGCAGCAAGCTCTCAGTTCAGACAAACAGCAACACACTCATCATCCAGACAAACAGTTCAGACAACAGCAGCAAGCTCTCAGTTCAGACAACCTGCAACACACTCATCATCCAGACAAACAGTCTCAGGTTTCAGACAAACAGCAACACACTCATCATTCAGACAAACAGTCTCAGGTTTCAGACAAACAGCAACACACTCATCATCCAGACAAACAGTTCAGACAAAAGCAGCAAGCTCTCAGTTCAGACAAACAGCAACACACTCATCATCCAGACAAACAGTTCAGACAAAAGCAGCAAGCTCTCAGTTCAGACAAACAGCAACACACTCATCATCCAGACAAACAGCAGCAAGCTCTCAGTTCAGACAAACAGCAACACACTCATCATCCAGACTAACAGCAGCAAGCTCTCAGTTCAGACAAACAGCAACACACTCATCATCTAGACAAACAGCAGCAAGCTCTCAGTTCACACAAACAGCAACACACTCATCATCCAGACAAACAGTTCAGACAAAAGCAGCAAGCTCTCAGTTCACACAAACAGCAACACACTCATCATTCAGACAAACAGCAGCAAGCTCTCAGTTCAGACAAACAGCAACACACTCATCATCCAGACTAACAGCAGCAAGCTCTCAGTTCAGACAAACAGCAACACACTCATCATCTAGACAAACAGCAGCAAGCTCTCAGTTCACACAAACAGCAACACACTCATCATCCAGACAAACAGTTCAGACAACAGCAGCAAGCTCTCAGTTCAAACAAACAGCAGCAAGCTCTCAGTTCAGACAAACAGCAGCAAGCTCCCAGTTCAGACAAACAGCAACACACTCATCATCCAGACAAACAGTTCAGACAACAGCAGCAAGCTCTCAGTTCAAACAAACAGCAGCAAGCTCTCAGTTCAGACAAACAGCAGCAAGCTCCCAGTTCAGACAAACAGCTCGGCTTAGACAAAGAGTTACAAACACTGTGTTAAGAGAAACAACCACACACTAAGGATTCACACAAACAGTCCCAGGATTCACACAAACAGTCCCAGGATTCAGACAAACAATTACAGACTAAGGGTTCAGACAACAGCACACTCTTAAGGCTCAGACAAGTACATTAAAGCTCAATACAATCTATTGTACAGAAATGACAAATGAAATAATAAAGAATTTGGAAACTATAAACAACAGATGATACACACTCAGCAACTTAGGTCAACAATTACCCTGACACATCTCTATGATGAGAGACGTTGTTTGAACCACATTATTGCAAGAGTAGCAAGATGGCAGGAAGGGTATCTCAAGTTTACCACAGATATCAAATATAATATGATGTATTTGACAAATAAAAGGTTAATGCGTCTAAGGCCAAGGTCAAGGTCCTACTGACTTACTTTGTGCAAAGCGTCTCATTCTGACACTTGTCGACACATTTCTTGTGGCAAATCATGGAACAGGTTCGGCACTGGTAAGCCGTCTTCATCCAGATCTGAGTCCAACAGAGACGTGAGAGATTGTAACAATGTGTAGAGCCAGTGGGGGACAGGAAACTGTCTAATGACCAGGGGCTCCTTTCACGAAGCAAACTTTACTAAGGTTAACCTTAACTTCCATTCTTTAACATGGCACTAAGGTTACCTTGGTGACTTACGATCACCTTAGTGCCTTCTGAAAGGAGCCCCTGTACACCATACTTCCTAGATAGTTCATGTGTTACCATACTTACACTCTCAGTGAGTACTGACATGATAGGTGGAACAAAACATTGTCAAAATATTCCTCGCCAAAAAGCAGAGAGTTCTTTTCAACAAATTCAAGACAATGTTATACATTACACCATAAACACAAGCTTGAAATACAGCAATGTCTGTTCTTTATTATAATAAGAGATACATGTAAAACAGACTTATTTTTAAAAATATGTCACATATACTGTAAATTATATGCATATATCTTAAGGTTTTTCTACAAGCTTGTCATGGAGAGACAATGAAGTTTACAAACCTTCTTCCCGCAGAAGTTGCAGTAGGTGGCCGACTGAAACTGGGTCAAGGTCAAACTGTGGAGACCTTCAGATGGACTGTGAAAACGAAGGTCAGGATTTAAAAACACTGAGCATCATGACAAAGGTCAAGGTTTCTCTTCAAGCGATGTACTATCAGACAGTAGATGACAACTTGAAGTAAAAACATCCATTGTTCCTGGATAATGTGTGAATGACCCTTCAATAATTAACATCCCAGCAACATGGTATGGTAGATTGGTGAGACTCTTGCTTAGTTGGTTGTAATATTGGTAAGGGTCCGTTCATAATTTATGGCTACTAATTTATAATGATGATTTTTATGGAGAAGCATGTACAATGTGTATGACTCACCCCCCACCCCACCCCCTATCATTTATGTACAAAGTAAGTGACACCTGCATGTCATGATCAATGCCTCCCTCCCATAATTTTTAAGCATAATCTTTTAATATTTCTAGGTACAGAATTGCTGCACCCACCCCTACCCCAAATACATGTGTACAAAATTGATGACCCCACCTACCTCCCCAGAATAAAATGGGTGACCCCCACCCCTCTCTCAAAATCATCATCACCACCCCTAGCTATAAATTATGAAAGGTTCCTAATAATTTACCTATATATTTCAGCCAGAAAATAATAAAGTCAATCTAGACAATCCAGTGATTGATATCACGAGCACCAATGACAGTCCACGAACAGTATGTGCCCAGGGAGTGATGAACTGAAAGTCACCTGAACACAGACCTAACAGAAGCTCAGTTCTATCACAGCATGGTGTGAGGTGACACCAGGTGTCGAGTGCTAAATTGAAACACAGTAGCATGAGTGAGTGAGTGAGTTGGGTTTTACGCCACTTTTAGCAATATTCCAGCAATATCATGGCAGGGGACACCAGCAATTCACACATTGCACCTATGTGGGGAATTTAACCCGGGCCTTCGGTATGATGAGGAAACGCTATAATCACTGGGCCACCCCACCACGCCGACAGTAGCATGACTCACGATAATAATCATACGGACACAAATCACAGCATCAAGGTCCACCTAGTGCACCACCAAATGAACCACCTGTCTGCATTACAGAGTGAGTGAGTATAGTTTTAATGGCTTCACATATTGTACCCATTTGGGGAATCAAACCCAGGGCTTCTGCATGACAAGCGAGTGCTTTAACCACTGGGCCACCCCACCGCCCCCTGCAAAACCGAGTGAAGGTAGATCAGGGTTGCAGGCACCTATTGATCAGAGGTAACAGTTCTCATCATGAACTCACAGCTTGGTGGTCTGTGGGACATCTCTGACAACATCGTCTACAGCAGCCTCCTTGGCACTGAGACACTCGACAACGCTGGGGTCGACTGACTCTTTGGGGATCCGGCACCGGTCCAGGTCTGATAACTTGAGTGGGGTGAAGTGGAACCCGAGCTTGATGTCACCGTAACACAAGTCTGGCTCAAACCCTGGGTGGTTTGCCCAGTTTTCCGACTTGGGGCGACTGAAGAACAGACACAAGAGTAAGTTTGACAAAAGTAGTGATTGTATTGTGGAACATATTCAGAGGTAATGGACACCTAACCTTCACAAGCACGGTGCTGTAAGACCAGTGATGTCAGTCTGGGGTTGAAATCTCTGATCCTGGAGGATCCAGCCCAGACATCTTTAATGGGATCCAATTTATCATGTTTATAACACATATATCATTCTTACCATACTTAGTCTCTATTTTGTTGGTACATTTAAGATATACTTTTCAACACCCTATTTTCTTCCTGACTCATCTCTGTGACTATGACTTCAGTGGCAGTGAGATGACGATGCTGATCCTGGCTAGTAATTACCTGGCTCCTGCTTTCATCTCCCCTGGCAACAGGTACATAGTCTGTTGTGTGTCCCCCTGCATCGTCATCAGACAGTACAGCGTGATGTCAGACAGCGGCAGACTCACCTGTATAGAAAACACACCTATATCAGATTCACCTGTACACACATAAACCTGTATCAGACTCACCTGTACATACAACACACCTTTATTAGACTCACCTGTACACACATAAACCTGTATCAGACTCACTTGTACATACAACACACCTTTATTAGACTCACCTGTACACACATAAACCTGTATCAGACTCACTTGTACATACAACACGCCTTTATTAGACTCACCTGTACACACATAAACCTGTATCAGACTCACTTGTACATACAACACGCCTTTATTAGACTCACCTGTACACACATAAACCTGTATCAGACTCACCTGTACATACAACACACCTTTATTAGATTCACCTGTACATACAACACACCTGTATCAGATTCACCTGTACACACATAAACCTGTATCAGACTCACCTGTACATACAACACACCTTTATTAGATTCACCTGTACATACAACACACCTTTATTAGACTCACCTGTACACACATAAACCTGTATCAGACTCACCTGTACATACAACACACCTTTATTAGATTCACCTGTACATACAACACACCTGTATCAGACTCACTTGTACATACAACACACCTGGATCAGACTCATCTGTACATACAACACACCTGTATCAGATTCACCTGTACATACAACACACCTGTATCAGATTCACCTGTACATACAACACACCTGTATCAGACTCACCTGTACATACAACACACCTGTATCAGATTCATCTGTACATACAACACACCTGTATAAGACTCACCTGTACATACAACACACCTGTATTAGATTCACCTGTACATACAATATACCTGTATCAGATTCACCTGTACATACAACACACCTGTATTAGATTCACCTGTACATGCAACACACCTGTATCAGACTCACCTGTACATACAACACACCTGTATTAGATTCACCTGTACATACAACACACCTGTATCAGATTCACCTGTACAAACAACACACCTGTATCAGACTCACCTGTACATACAATAAACCTGTATCAGATTCACCTGTACATACAATATACCTGTATCAGATTCACCTGTACATGCAACACACCTGTATCAGACTCACCTGTACAAACAACACACCTGTATCAGATTCACCTGTACATACAACACACCTGTATCAGACTCACCTGTACATACAACACACCTGTATCAGATTCACCTGTACAAACAACACACCTGTATCAGATTCACCTGTACATACAACATACCTGTATCAGACTCACCTGTACATACAATATACCTGTATCAGACTCACCTGTACATACAACACACCTGTATCAGACTCACCTGTACATACAACACACCTGTATCAGACTCACCTGTACATACAACACACCTGTATCAGATTCACCTGTACATACAACATACCTGTATCAGACTCACATGTACATACAATACACCTGTATCAGACTCACCTGTACATACATAAACCTGTATTAGCCTCACCTGTACATACATAAACCTGTATTACACTGTGTGCCAATATATCACACAATCAAACAAAGGTTTGACAGTACAACACTACGTTAAACTCAGTTTCAGTAGATATATCATACTGTGTGTACAGGTCTTCACTACCAAGACAGACACAGGTTGAAAACTGTTAACTTCTGACAAACCAAGATCATGATGGGATTATCCTGGGATTAGAACTCTGACGTCTGAGACAATATGACCTTGGCCAAGTCAATATACCTCTACACAGGACCGGATACTTTAATTGTTTCAGACTAAATAAGAGAACCATTCCCCCACTCACGTGTCCGAGCAGCAGGTCCCTTGTGGCCTTAATGACCCGGTCACTCTTGTCCACCTTCTCAGGGATCTTGCAGCGCACACAAACATTCAGGTAGCGTTGTTGTTCACCAAGGTCAAAGGTCACTTCCTTGTTCCACTTGGGATTCTGGGAAACAGGCCAGCCCATAATCAAGCATATATTTCACACGTTTTCTGTTTCAGTCATCGGACAGGAGACAGACCCGTATCATAAAGTTTGTGTTATTCTTATTTCTATTTGTACAGTAAAGGACAAATATCGCAAAAACAACTGGAGGGTGAGCAAACGACTTTATTGTAAATTACAAGATTTTTTTAAATATTGTGGAAGGAGTCACAGATCAGGTTTCAGAAAGAGGCTGCTCATGTGATACCTATCATGGCTGATGCTTCACGATATCATGTTGCAAGGCTAAATATAGTCTAGTGTTACCATGGCTTCAAATCATGATGGTGCTCACCTTGCACGCAGGCACCTCCGGGAATCTTCTGTACGTTGTAAAGATCGTCATCACTATCGCTGTCAACATCACCACTGTTTACACTGTCAACATCATCAGCCAGGGTCTGAAGAGAATAATGCAGTGTTAGTCTGCTTTATTTCCAGAACATTTGTCAGCTGATCTGATCCCTAGAGACCGTCGTATGTTGACCCTCCCCTAGAGACTGCCATATGTTGACCCTCCCCTAGAGACTGTCATATGTTGACCCTTCCCTAGAGACTGTAATATGTTGACCCTCCCCTAGAGACCGTCGTATGTTGAACCTCCTGCTTTATTTCCAGAACATTTGTCAGCTGATCTGTCCACTGATTTCAACATATGATGGAGACTGAGCGAATCAGGCTACAGTTTGAAACATAGATTTGGGGCAATTTCATATTATTGTGAGAAGGATCATTATATGATGCACTTTTATTCATTTAGTCGCTTTGTCAGGACAAGTATTAAATCTTCGTACAGTAAAAGTAAAAGAACATCTATTTCATCATCATATAAATTGGAAAAATTAAATCATATTTTCTATAGATCATCATTTGTTGACCCGCCTCTAGAGACCGTCGTATGCTGACCTGTCCTTACAGACCATCCTATGCTGACCCTCCCCTAGAGACCGTCGTATGCTGACCTGTCCTTACAGACCATCATATGCTGACCCTCCCTAGAGACCGGCTGCTTGTGGACCCTCCCTAGAGACCGTTGTATGTGGACCCTCCCTAGAGACCATGGTTTGTTGACCCTACCCTAGAGACCGTCGTTTGTGGACCCTCCCCTAGAGACCGTCGTTTGTGGACCCTCCCCTAGAGACCATAGTTTGTTGGCCCTTCCCTAGAGACCGTTGTATGTGGACCCTCCCCTAGAGACCATGGTTTGTTGACCCTCCCCTAGAGACCGTTGTTTGTGGACCCTCCCCTAGAGACCATGGTTTGGTGACCCTCCCCTAGAGACCATAGTTTGTTGGCCCTCCCCTAGAGACCGTTGTATGTGGACCCTGCCCTAGAGACCGTTGTTTGTGGACCCTCCCCTAGAAACCATGGTTTGGTGACCCTACCCTAGAGACCATTGTTTGTGGACCCTGCCCTAGAGACCGTCGTTTGTGGACCCTCCCCTAAAGACCATAGTTTGTTGGCCCTCCCCTAGAGACCGTCGTTTGTTGAACCTCCTGCTTTATTTCCAGAACATTTGTCAGCTGATCTGTCCACTGATTTCAACATATGATGGAGACTGAGCGAATCAGGCTACAGTTTGATACATAGATTTGGGGCAATTTCATATTATTGTGAGAAGGATCATTATATGATGCACTTTTATTCATTTAGTCGCTTTGTCAGGACAAGTATAAAATCTTCGTACAGTAAAAGTAAAAGAACATCTATTTCATCATCATATAAATTGGAAAAATTAAATCATATTTTCTATAGATCATCATTTGTTGACCCGCCTCTAGAGACCGTCGTATGCTGACCTGTCCTTACAGACCATCCTATGCTGACCCTCCCCTAGAGACCGTCGTATGCTGACCTGTCCTTACAGACCATCATATGCTGACCCTCCCCTAGAGACCGTCGTTTGTGGACCCTCCCCTAGAGACCGTTGTATGTGGACCCTCCCCTAGAGACCATGGTTTGTTGACCCTACCCTAGAGACCGTCGTTTGTGGACCCTCCCCTAGAGACCGTCGTTTGTGGACCCTCCCCTAGAGACCATAGTTTGTTGGCCCTCCCTAGAGACCGCTGTATGTGGACCCTCCCCTAGAGACCATGGTTTGTTGACCCTCCCCTAGAGACCGTTGTTTGTGGACCTCCCTAGAGACCATGGTTTGGTGACCCTCCCTAGAGACCATAGTTTGTTGGCCCTCCCCTAGAGACCGTTCATGTGGACCCTGCCCTAGAGACCTGTTTGTGGACCCTCCCTAGAAACCATGGTTTGGTGACCCTACCCTAGAGACCATTGTTTGTGGACCCTGCCCTAGAGACCGTCGTTTGTGGACCCTCCCCTAAAGACCATAGTTTGTTGGCCCTCCCCTAGAGACCGTCGTTTGTTGAACCTCCTGCTTTATTTCCAGAACATTTGTCAGCTGATCTGTCCACTGATTTCAACATATGATGGAGACTGAGCGAATCAGGCTACAGTTTGATACATAGATTTGGGGCAATTTCATATTATTGTGAGAAGGATCATTATATGATGCACTTTTATTCATTTAGTCGCTTTGTCAGGACAAGTATAAAATCTTCGTACAGTAAAAGTAAAAGAACATCTATTTCATCATCATATAAATTGGAAAAATTAAATCATATTTTCTATAGATCATCATTTGTTGACCCGCCTCTAGAGACCGTCGTATGCTGACCTGTCCTTACAGACCATCCTATGCTGACCCTCCCCTAGAGACCGTCGTATGCTGACCTGTCCTTACAGACCATCATATGCTGACCCTCCCCTAGAGAACGTCGTTTGTGGACCCTCCCCTAGAGACAGTTGTATGTGGACACTTCCCTAGAGACCATGGTTTGTTGACCCTCCCCTAGAGACCGTCGTTTGTGGACCCTCCCCTAGAGACCGCCGTTTGTGGACCCTCCCCTAGAGACAATAGTTTGTTGGCCCTCCCCTAGAGACCGTGGATTTGTGTGGACCCTCCCCTAGAGACCGTTGTTTGTGGACCCTCCCCTAAAGACCATGGTTTGTTGACCCTCCCCTAGAGACCATAATTTGTAAACCCTCTCCTAGAGACCGTCGTTTGTGGACCCTCCCATAGAGAACATAGTTTGCTGACTCTCCCCTAGAGAACGTCGCTTGTGGACCCTCCCCTAAAGACCATTGTTTGGTGACCCTCCCCTAGAGACCATAGTTTGTTAACCCTCCCCTAGAGACCGTCCTTTGTGGACCCTCCCCTAGAGACCATAGTTTGTTGACCCTCCCCTAGAGACCATCGTACGTTGACCCTCCCCTAGAGACTGTCATATGTTGACCCTCCCCTAGAGACCGTCGTATGTTGAACCTCCCCTAGAGACCATCGTATGTTGAACCTCCCCTAGAGACTGTCGTATGTTGACCCTCCCCTAGAGACTGTCATATGTTGACCCTCCCCTAGAGACCGTCGTTTATTGACCCGCCCCTAGAGACTGTCGTTTATTGACCCGCCCCTAGAGACCGTCTGTTTATTGACCAACCCCTAGAGACCGTCGTTTATTGACCCTCCCTAGAGACTGTCGTTTATTGACCCTCCCTAGAGACTGTCGTTTATTGACCCTCCCCTAGAGACTGTCATATGTTGACCCTCCCTAGAGACTGTCATATGTTGACCCTTCCTAGAGACCATCAGATGTTGACCCTCCCTAGAGACCATCGTATGTTGACCCTCCCCTAGAGACTGTCATATGTTGACCCTCCCCTAGAGACCGTCGTATGTTGAACCTCCTCTAAAGACCGTCGTTTATTGACCCTCCCCTAGAGACTGTCATATGTTGACCCGCCCTAGACACTGCCATATGTTGACCTGAACCTTGGTACACTTGTTTATTGACCCGCCCCTAGAGACTGTCATATGTTGCCCTGAACCTTGGTACACTTGTTTATTGACCCGCCCCTAGACACTGCCATATGTTGACCTGAACCTTGGTACACTTGTTTATTGACCCGCACCTAGAGACTGTCATATGTTGACCCGCCCTAGACACTGCCATATGTTCACCTGAACCTTGGTACAGTTGTTTATTGACCCGCCCCTAGAGACTGTCATATGTTGACCCGCCTTAGACACTGCCATATGTTGACCTGAACCTTGGTACACTTGTTTATTGACCCGCCCCTAGAGACTGTCATATGTTGACCCGCCCTAGACACTGCCATATGTTCACCTGAACCTTGGTACAGTTGTTTATTGACCCGTCCCTAGAGACTGTCATATGTTGACCCGCCTTAGACACTGCCATATGTTGACCTGAACCTTGGTACACTTGTTTATTGACCCGCCCCTAGACACTGCCATATGTTGCCCTGAACCTTGGTACACTTGTTTATTGACCCGCCCCTAGACACTGCCATATGTTGCCCTGAACCTTGGTACAGTTGTTAATTGACCCACCCCTAGAGACCGTCATATGTTGACCCTCCCCTAGAGACCTGCCAGATCAGCATAGTGTGAATGTAAATTTGTACCTGAAATTAAATGATTATATTGAAAGCCTGCCACCTCACATTTAAATCCCTTCTGCACTGACTGACCTTGGGAGCAAACCCTGGATCGCTCTCGGCTCTCTCCCGCCGTGGAGAACCATCAAGTCTGGCACCCAAAGTGCCCTCCCCTGACTGAAGTCGTGGATCTGACTTGCGCTGTCCGAGGCGAATAGGACTACTCTCTGCTGAGTGTTGGGACGTGGAAGTCTTGGCACGCTGTCGGAAGTCACTTTGTGCAGGGACAGACAGATTTGACCCTTTGTCCAGTTTCAGAGACTTAGCAGAGCTTGAGTCCGAGTCTTGTGTGTTTTTGAAACTGATGTGAACGAAGTCTTCGCTGTCTTCGTTGGACTGCACATCTTCCATGCCATCTGTCTCCGTGTCCTGGTGAGATGATAACAACTGTGTATCTATATATGGGTATAACTGCTATCTACTACATCAACAGATAACACAGCTATATGTTCCTATACAGAACACAGCACCTGAAATGTTGGCTTTGTGTGACAGCAAGTGCTGTTTGATTTTGATAGTTGTCTAACTCCATTGTCAGGAATGTTCCAGCTATATGAATACAAGGTAGTATCTAAATAGTATCAGACAATCCAGTGATTTCCATCATGGGCATTGATCTACAAAATTAGGATACTGTAACATGCATGAACCAGCCAGCCTGACCACCTGACCATGTTAGTTACACCAACTGTAACCTGTATCTTCACAGAGAAGGAAAACAGACATATTTAGTAAACTACATTATGTACATCAAGTCCTTGAAACTCATAGTGTTACATCTTGCTGTAAGTGGTATTCCATGGGATCAGGCCAGGAGTTTCTACTTATCCAGAATTCAGTGTGCTCTTCAACATGATCCATGAATAAAACCTTTTTCACTTAGTGAGTGAATTGTAACCACATTTCAGCTGTATCACTGGAGGAATATTTCAACACAGCATCTACTTCTACACACACCGCTCCATTACACATAAATACATACGACCAAGTACGGTCGGGATGGAAGTAGACTGAGCAGTAGTCTGTTCGTGAGCTTTGTCTGAACACTGCTAGGGACGTAATACTACAGGACATGTTGAGAGAGAAATATTGATGATGTAATCTAGTTGCTCATTGGTTCAAGCAGCTAAATGCAAATGGCCATATGAGTTCACGTGATGAAGAAACGGAGTACATATAAATTCAGAAATAATAAAGATGTGATGGAGGGATGTGGCGTATATAAACTCCTACCTTGTAAGGTAATGTCTCCTCGAAGAACTTGACTTCTTGTGACATCTTCAGTTGTGGCCTTTCAAGACGTATTGTAAACCTGAAGCAGAGATATCATACAGCTCACTACCATCACAGCTTGCAGGAGGAACTAGTTCTGTGTGAGCTGGGTATAACACTGACTAGAAGAGACTTCAGGAACAGTTTGTCAGCTACATGTGGGAGGTCAAGATTCTGACCACTTTGATGAAGCTTATAAACATGGGTACAATGCCAGTAAGACTAAAATGTATTGAGGGCAAACTGATTCAAATCCATGATAACACAAGGCAGGGCTAAGGGAAATAACTGCTTATTGTTGCCCCTTCCCAACTGGGCCGCCAGTCCTCCATGTTCAACCTGCTGAAGCTGCTGGGCTAGGAGCTGTGTGGAAACGTGTTTGAACAACAGACAACAATCTTAGTGGATGATAACTCTACATGTACACAGTCTTGGGATCAATGGGTACAGAAGCTCACCTTCAAAGGCTGATTCAGCACTTCAGTGACAGTATGCAGTGTGAAAGAGCCACACACAAAGCCACTGCTGTAGCTTGGAGTTGCCTCTGAGTGAGTGAGTGAGGTTTTTAGTTTTATGCCACACTCAGCAATATTCCAGCTATATGGCAGCAGTCTGTATATAATCGAGTGTGGATCAGACAATCCAGTGATCAACAGCATGAGCATCGCCTCTGTATCTGTTTTTGAGAATGTTTCCAGATTACACCAGCCACCTTGTGGCCAGGAGTACATTGGGCAAACATGATACTGACATTCAGGGTTTGGCCAGAGGAAACAGACAGACATGCTACTGATGTTGTCACAGAAGGGAACCTATCTCCATTAAGTCACAATACCTCTCTCCAGAAGGGAACAATACCTCTCTCCAGCGTTCCTCATTAGCTTCGCAGCCTGCTTGCAGGATGTAATCTTTGTTGTTCCCACGGCAACAAGCACATCATTCTACACAAGATAACAACTATGTCACAATATGTCTCCTATATATCAGAGTAACAATTAATGAACAGATATACACGAGATATACATATAACACTGTGTAACTATATCATGGTATAACTGCTATATATTACAACAACAGATAACACCTGTGTATCTATATCATAGTATAACTGCTATTCACTACATCAACAGATAACACCTGTGTATCTATATCAGGGTATAACTGTTATATACTACATCAACAGATAACACCTGGGTATCTATATCATGGTATAACTGCTATTCACTACATCAACAGGTAACACCTGGGTATCTATATCAGGGTATAACTGCTATATACTACATCAACAGATAACACCTGTGTATCTATATCAGGGTATAACTGCTATATACTACAACAGATAACACCTGTGTATCTATATCAGGGTATAACTGCTATATACTACATCAACAGATAACACCTGTGTATCTATATCAGGGTATAACTGTTATATACTACATCAACAGATAACACCTGTGTATCTATATCATGGTATAAGTGCTATATACTACATCAACAGATAACACCTGTGTATCTATATCATAGTATAACTGCTATATACTACATCAACAGATAACACCTGTGTATCTATATCAGGGTATAACTGCTATATACTACATCAACAGATAACACCTGTGTATCTATATCAGGGTATAACTGCTATATACTACATCAACAGATAACTCCTGTGTATCTATATCAGGGGGTATAACTGCTATATACTACATCAACAGATAACACCTGTGTATCTATATCAGGGTATAACTGCTATATACTACATCAACAGATAACACCTGTGTATCTATATCATGGTATAACTGCTATATACTACATCAACAGATAACACCTGTGTATCTATATCAGGGTATAACTGCTATATACTACATCAACAGATAACACCTGTGTATCTATATCAGGGTATAACTGCTATATACTACATCAACAGATAACACCTGTGTATCTATATCAGGTATAACTGCTATATACTACATCAACAGATAACACCTGTGTATCTATATCATGGTATAACTGCTATATACTACATCAACAGATAACACCTGTGTATCTATATCAGGGTATAACTGCTATATACTACATCAACAGATAACACCTGTGTATCTATATCATGGTATAACTGCTATATACTACATCAACAGATAACACCTGTGTATCTATATCAGGGTATAACTGCTATATACTACATCAACAGATAACACCTCTGTATCTATATCAGGGTATAACAGCTATATACTACATCAACAGATAACACCTGTGTATCTATATCAGGGTATAACTGCTGTATACTACATCAACAGATAACACCTGTGTATCTATATCAGGGTATAACTGCTATATACTACATCAACAGATAACACCTGTGTATCTATATCAGGGTATAACTGCTATATACTACATCAACAGATAACACCTGTGTATCTATATCATGGTATAACTGCTATATACTACATCAACAGATAACACCTGTGTATCTATATCATAGTATAACTGCTATATACTACATCAACAGATAACACCTGTGTATCTATATCAGGGTATAACTGCTATTCCCTACGTCAACAGATAACACCTGGGTATCTATATCAGGGTATAACTGCTATTCACTACGTCAACAGATAACAGGTGTATCACAGTTTAACAGTTATGAATGTCAGTGATAATGGAGACAGCCCTCACCTTCTTGATGTCTGCCATTGATGCCGGGCTCTCTGGTGCAACACTGTCCACCATGACAACCAGATCAAACCTGGCCAGCAGATTCTCCTGCAACACGTGTAAAGTCAGTATTATGAATCATGTCACATTTCTGTTCCTGACTTAGGTTGTTTGTTGCTTAATGGTTGCAACGATTCATGTTCTCGGTGTACAAGACATCCAGAGTATGTTTTGTTTTATGCCACTTCTAGCAAATTCTCCAGCACAAGGATGGTGGGAATACTGGGTCGTCACACATTGTATTCTTGTTGGAAATCAAACCTGTGCTTTGGTGTGATGAGTGAAGCACTTTAACCACAGGGCTATCCCACCACCCTTACTCCAGGCAAACCAATACAAACAAAAACCAAATGAAATATTTGGTATATCAAAATGAATTGAGACAAACAGGAATGACAAATTTCGGTAAACATTGTCTGCAATGTAACCTACCTCTCTGAATGTCATGCCGATGGACGTAGCAGTGCCCTTAGCGACCTCCACATCATGGGACACCCAGACCCTCTGATGTCGGTTCACAAGCTCCTTCCACTCTAGTTCATCTGGTACACATGGAGAGAGAGATGTTAATGATCATATCAACCCAAACTGGGTTCCACAGATTATATTGCTTGTTTGAGTAGAACTCCAAGGAAATATATTGTATCACCAAGCTTTGAACCCATTGTGACATCATCAGTGACCACGATGCCACAAACAAATGACATCACTCATCTCTGTCCCTCTGAAGCTGGAGCACAGAGTTTGTTACACTCAACACACTGGCTATTACTGTTTACAGACTGGGAAAGTTGGCTGACTGTTGTTGGATCATAAGTAGAATCATGCCTTTGTGTCTTTTGAGATCAAATATATGAACACTCATCTATAAAACCTATACTGATTCATATTTATGTATTGAGTCTTGAAGTCAGAGTCTCGCCACCTTGCATGACCGCTTGATGCGGAATCCAACACAGCTTTGTACAAACACAGGTGTCATGTTTTATTCCTTTGATGTAACGTTCATTCCAAGGTAAGCACATGTAGCGGTACATAGGCGCCATGTTTCCATATCTGAACGAGGCTCTCTATGATGGTCATGTGACCATGTACAGAAAAGCTATAAATAGCATGCATTAAGTTCATAACAACAGGTACAGGTGATACACATTCTGTACACATTACACTTACCAACAGATATTGTACAGTACAGTTTGGCATCTTTCGGTGTTTTAAGTAGTCTTGAGCATTCTATCCGTTAACTCGAAGTCGGCCAACGCTGATATTCTGCCCACTCACACGGAACTCACGTAGTGGACGGGTTAGTGAGGGTTGGAGAAAAAACGGTTTGAAGCGCATCTTGAAGTTAGGAAGGGTGTGCTTCTTTCTAATACTGCGTCTTATCTGTATGGAAGATATAATCAGTAACTTATTTATTTGCAGCATTCTCTTTAAAAACATGGGACCTGACACTGGGCTGAATTATGTTATCAGTTCAGCAACATTACTGGGTAAGCAATGTTTCTGATATATTATTGGATCAGCAACTTTACTGCTTTCTTTGGGAGGTCAGCAACATCCTCAGCAATAATAGATGTTAATAATATCCTTGATGAATCAGTTCAAGATTTGATACAAAAATATGTATGTATAGTGTATAATAACTGAAATAAACAAAGCAAAAAGGGCTATTTTACTTCACTACATGCAACACAAATAAACCTGATAAGCAATTGTGCCTACAAGGCAAAATATGTCTTACTTGATTGATTATGAAGTTTGTTATTTGGGGCAATCCTTTCCCCTCGAACTGGGACTCCACCTCAAACTCCACCTCAGGATCCTGAGAACATGAACATCAAGAACAACATGAATACCTGGTACTCTAAGGTACACCTGGACTGAATACTGATTTAACTTGTATTGCAGAGGTGTTCACCCTATCCCACATCTTCTCCAAATCATCTTCCACAAACACAAAACTCATCTACCTCTCCCTGCAAACATCTCCAACACCCTCCCTCCAACACCTGCTCTCCCCCACTAACATCTCTGATACCCTCCTTTCAAGACCCCTCTCCTTCAACACCCCGACCCTATTATCTCATACAGTGAGTGTAGGGTTTCCGGGTCAGCTGGAGTCTAGCTGGCCCCCTTCAGTTTCTTCACCACCCCCGAACCACGAACCCCACCCCCGTACCTCACAGAAGGAGAAGGACCAGTGAGTGTAGGGTTTCCGAGTCAGCTGGAGTCGAGCTGGCCCCTTCAGTTTCTTCACGACCACAGACAGGTAGGCAGACTTGTTGAACAACAGCAGGATGTCTATTGCCAGCTGGAAGCCCCCTGCATAGTCGATGTCCACACCGAGGTCCAGCTCCTGGAACACACATCTCTGTAACTCAGACCTCGATGTAGCATCTGTGACAGTGGAACAAATCTCTGTAACAGAGAACATCTCAGTAAACTACAACAAGCTCTTGGAACACACATCTCTGTAACTCAGACCTCGATGTAGCATCTGTGACAGTAAACTACAAGAACATCTCAGACAAGCTCTTGGAACACACATCTCTGTAACTCAGACCTCGATGCAGCATCTGTGACAGTAAACTACAAGAACATCTCAGACAAGCTCTTGGAACACACATCTCTGTAACTCAGTAAACTACAAAAGAACATACATGAACAAGCTCTTGGAACACACATCTCTGTAACTCAGACCTCGATGTAGCATCTGTGACAGTAAACTACAAGAACATCTCAGACAAGCTCCTGGAACACACATCTCTGGAACACACATCTGACTGTAACTCAGACCTCGAATGAACACACATCTAGCATCTGTGACAGTAAACTACAAGAACATCATCTCAGACAAGCTCCTGGAACACACATCTCTGTAACTCAGACCTCGATGTAGCATCTGTGACAGTAAACTACAAGAACATCTCAGACAAGCTCCTGGAACACACATCTCTGTAACTCAGACCTCGATGTAGCATCTGTGACAGTAAACTACAAGAACATCTCAGACAAGCTCCTGGAACACACATCTCTGTAACTCAGACCTCGATGCAGCATCTGTGACAGTAAACTACAAGAACATCTGTCAGACAAGCTCCTGGAACACACATCTCTGTAACTCAGACCTGATGCAGCATCTGTGACAGTAAACTACAAGTAAACTACAAGAACATCTCAGACAAGCTCTTGGAACACACATCTCTGTAACTCAGACCTTGATGCAGCATCTGTGACAGTAAACTACAAGAACATCTCAGACAAGCTCCTGGAACACACATCTCTGTAACTCAGACCTCGATGTAGCATCTGTGACAGTAAACTACAAGAACATCTCAGACAAGCTCCTGGAACACACATCTCTGTAACTCAGACCTCGATGTAGCATCTGTGACAGTAAACTACAAGAACATCTCAGACAAGCTCTTGGAACACACATCTCTGTAACTCAGACCTGGATGCAGCATCTGTGACAGTAAACTACAAGAACATCTCAGAGAAGCTCTCCTGTTGACTGCTGAAGGTGTTCAGGAACCATCACGCACAGGCTGGTCTCCCTTGGTTCAAGTATTACGTTTTGCTTCAGCTATTGTTCAATTCAGTCCTCAGTTCAGACAAACAGTATGTTCATATACCAGTCCTAACTTAAAAACACAATTGCTCATTAAATTATGTACCAACTCACCTGTAAACTTTAAATCTTCCCACTTACACAGAAACTCAGAGAGTTGTTGATATCCCAGCCATTATACAAACATGTACAATCCACCTTACACCAGTTATCTCTCACAGAAACCTGTGAGGAAACCCCTGAGGAAACCCCTGAGGATCAGTACACACAACTCTAATTAGGGCTGCCAGAATCCTATCCCTATGGCCTGCATCTGCCGTCATGAAGCTGGATTACTATTAAGAGTGATCACTCAAACATGAGAGTATGATCTGAGTAAAACACATACCTCGGTCCCATCATCGGTGATGGAGACATTCCGAACGCTGACGTTGTTGACGACCGGGAAGTTGTTGCCCAGACTGAAGTTCTGCACCTGCATTGGTCATGTCACATCGTCAAATACATGGCATGGAGTCATGTCACATCGTCAAATACATGGCATGGAGTCATGTCACATCGTCAAATACATGGCATGGAGTCATGTCACATCGTCAAATACATGGCATGGAGTCATGTCACATCGTCAAATACATGGCATGGAGTCATGTCACATCATCAAATACATGGCATGGAGTCATGTCACATCGTCAAATACATGGCATGGAGTCATGTCACATCGTCAAATACATGGCATGGAGTCATGTCACATCGTCAAATACATGGCATGGAGTCATGTCACATCGTCAAATACATGGCATGGAGTCATGTCACATCGTCAAATACATGGCATGGAGTCATGTCACATCGCCAAATACATCAAATACATGGCATGGAGTCATGTCACATCGTCAAATACATGGCATGGAGTCATGTCACATCGTCAAATACATGGCATGGAGTCATGTCACATCGTCAAATACATGGCATGGAGTCATGTCACATCGTCAAATACATGGCATGGAGTCATGTCACATCGATCAAATACATGGCATGGAGTCATGTCACATCGTCAAATACATGGCATGGAGTCATGTCACATCGTCAAATACATGGCATGGAGTCATGTCACATCGTCAAATACATGGCATGGAGTCATGTCACATCGTCAAATACATGGCATGGAGTCATGTCACATCGTCAAATACATGGCATGGAGTCATGTCACATCGTCAAATACATGGCATGGAGTCATGTCACATCGTCAAATACATGGCATGGATGGAGTCATGTCACATCGTCAAATACATGGCATGGAGTCATGTCACATCGTCAAATACATGGCATGGAGTCATGTCACATCGTCAAATACATGGCATGGAGTCATGTCACATCGTCAAATACATGGCATGGAGTCATGTCACATCGTCAAATACATGGCATGGAGTCATGTCACATCGTCAAATACATGGCATGGAGTCATGTCACATCGTCAAATACATGGCATGGAGTCATGTCACATCGTCAAATACATGGCATGGAGTCATGTCACATCGTCAAATACATGGCATGGAGTCATGTCACATCGTCAAATACATGGCATGGAGTCATGTCACATCGTCAAATCAAATACATGGCATGGAGTCATGTCACATCGTCAAATACATGGCATGGAGTCATGTCACATCGTCAAATACATGGCATGGAGTCATGTCACATGGCATGGAGTCATGTCACAAATACATGGCATGGAGTCATGTCACATCATGGAGTCAAATACATGGCATGGAGTCGTCATGGCATCGTCAAATCGCCAAATACATGGCATGGAGTCATGTCACATCGTCAAATACATGGCATGGAGTCATGTCACATCGTCAAATACATGGCATGGAGTCATGTCACATCGTCAAATACATGGCATGGAGTCATGTCACATCGTCAAATACATGGCATGGAGTCATGTCACATCGTCAAATACATGGCATGGAGTCATGTCACATCGTCAAAATACATGGCATGGAGTCATGTCATGTCACATCATGGAGTCATGTCAATCGTCAAATACATGGCATGGAGTCATGTCACATCGTCAAATACATGGCATGGAGTCATGTCACATCGTCAAATACATAGCATGGAGTCATGTCACATCGTCAAATACATGGCATGGAGTCATGTCACATCGTCAAATACATGGCATGGAGTCATGTCACATCGTCAAATACATGGCATGGAGTCATGTCACATCGTCAAATACATGGCATGGAGTCATGTCACATCTCAAATACATGGCATGGAGTCATGTCACATCGTCAAATACATGGCATGGAGTCATGTCACATCGTCAAATACATGGCATGGAGTCATGTCACATCGTCAAATACATGTCACATCGTCAAATACATAGCATGGAGTCATGTCACATCGATCAAATACATATAGCATGGAAATACAAATACATGGCATGGAGTCATGTCACATCACATCGTCAAATACATGGCATGGAGTCATGTCACACACATGGCATGGAGTCATGTCACATCGTCAAATACATGGCATGGAGTCATGTCACATCGTCAAATACATGGCATGGAGTCATGTGACACTGTTACATTAGAAACAGGGGGTCATGTGACACTGTTACATTAGAAACAGGGGGTCATGTGACACTGTTACATTAGTCATGACACTGTTACAGGGGTCATGTGACACTGTTACATTAGAAACAGGGGTCATGTGACACTGTTACATTAGAAACATGGGTCATGTGACACTGTTACATTAGACACTGTTACATTAGAAACAGGGGTCATGTGACACTGCTACATTATAAACAGGGGTCACTGTGAAACACATGTGACACTGTTACATTAGAAACAGGGGGTCATGTGACACTGTTACATTAGAAACAGGGGGTCATGTGACACTGTTACATTAGAAACAGGGGGTCATGTGACACTGTTACATTAGAAACAGGGGTCATGTGACACTGTTACATTAGAAACAGGGGGTCATGTGACACTGTTACATTAGAAACAGGGGGTCATGTGACACTATTACATTAGAAACAGGGGGTCATGTGACACTGTTACATTAGAAACAGGAGGTCATGTGACACTGTTACATGAGAGGCAGGGGGTTTGTGACAACAGGGACAAAGACATGTTAGTTTGTTGGGTTGCCATGGAAACAATGAGATACATGACACTGGGCCACAACAGTTCTGAACCTTTACATCAGTTTAATCAACAAATCAGTATCATCAAGCAGTATTTGCAGATTATGCTTCTTGTTTAGTGGTGACCAGTGTGTGTAAAGACCTAAGAACCACTCACAGTGATCTGGTCGACGAACTTTCCCGACATCGTCTGCAACAGCTCAGCGAACTCCAGGTTCATCTTCTTCATCAGCCACCTGACAAGGGAGATAACTCTGTTGCATTAACTCAATGGCTACTTTAGGTGATTCTCATTAAGTTTATTCTGCCCACATATATTCTGGTATATACAAGTCGTATATCTGGCCCAACCCGTTCCTGCTTTACTCATCAGCATAATCAGAAGTTAACAGCAAGCATCACTAGTGTATATGATTTTCTAGAATTGTCAATAGTTGTGTCACAATATATGGTATATCCCACCACCCAGGTTGTGTCACTATTGTGCAGTATACTCCAGCACTGTTAACAAGTCGTGTCACTAGTATACGATATTTTCCAGCACTGTTAACAAGTTGTGTCACTAATAAATGTTGTTTCCCAGCAATGTTAACAAGTTGTGTCACTAGTAAATGTTGTTTGCCGGCAATGTTAACAAGTTGTGTCACTAGTAAATGTTGTTTGCCAGCAATGTTAAAAAGTCGTGTCACTGGTAAATGTTGTTTCCCAGCAATGTTAACAAGTCGTGTCACTGGTACATGGTATTTTCCAGCAATGTTAACAAGTCGTGTCAATAGTAAATGTTGTTTCCCAGCAATGTTAAACAAGTCGTGTCACTGGTAAATGTTGTTTCCCAGCAAAGTCAACAGGTTGTGTCAGAAGTTATAGTAGTCTCAAGCATTGTTAACAGTCTGTGTCACTAGTCTATATTATCCCCCAGTATTGCTAACAGGTTGTGTCACTAAAGTACTGTCGGAAATAGAAAAAAAACATTTTTAGGCTGTTACTCTGTATCCCTTAAATTGACAAATTAACAAATAGCATATATATCGAAATAACCCATATCGGCCTAACTGGGCATTCAGTGGGATGCGTAATACGATATCCAGAAAAGCATGTTTACTCGTAAACTCGGGCAAAACTTAGACAAAATATGAATAGCTTCTCAAAACAATAGATAGGACTATAGATAGCAATTAGGTCACTCAGCCAGGTATGACGACAGACCGTTGACTCACCTGGCATGAAATGCACATCCTGCCAACAAGCACAAGGGGTCATCTCAATGATATTTTATGTTTTTTTTTCATGTGTGTTGAATATGTCTCATCTATTGATCATAAAGTTTATGTTGAGATATGTAAAAGGGTATGATACCCATGGAAAAGCTTAAATCAGCCATCGTATTAAATGTCTCAAAATATATAGGTGGCATGACCACCCGAAGATCGACAGGACTGGATATGATTTCTAAATTGTTATGACATGCCGTTTGCTTCCCAGTTTTCCCTAAATGATTATCTTATCTCATACCGACCCCAACAACCGTCTGCGACACCCGTCCTGGATTTGCTTTTGAGACGACCCCTCCTACCTGTTTCTTTTTATTGTGATAGTGAGACTCCATGGTAGCTACATCCTTCATAGTTTCAGTATTAAAGTTATTATTTTTTACGTCAGCTATCGTTTATAATGAAGCTAAGTTTAATTTCAAAATGGACATTTGATCAGGGAAATCAGCTGCTTTGTAGACATGAATGAATAGGTTAGAGCACCCTGAGGTGTGCCAAACATGTCAGTATCTTCTCCAGTGACATACAGTGATCTACAGAGAAGTCAACAACTCACAACTCAAAGAAAGAATTCAATGACAGGAAAGTTTTGACACGTCCCCCTTCAGCTGTGACACGTTTGAAGTGTGAGACAAACTGTCCGTCCAATGTTCAAACTGAGCTCAAGCACAATAACCTCACCTCACCTTGCTGTCATTTGTTTATAACATGGAGTATTCATCACCACCAGTTTGATACAGGAAATATTAACCAAGTTACAAATAGTCTTGGAAATATGTTACCATGGCTACTGCAGCACTGATTTGATATATGAGATGTGGGGCAGTGGGGAGTTAGGGTTTAGTCCTCCTGTGTTACTATAGCAACACAGCAGGGTAGATGTAAGTACCTCCGAACTTCCTGTGTGTCACGAAGTTCTTGGAACAGGAAGTGAGTGACGAGGTTGAACCAGAGGCATGGCTCCTTCTGATGAGACAGGTCCTCTCGACTGCATTTCTCCTTCAGACTCTGAATAACATACAAGTAACACAAATGCAGCAATGTACTTAAGAAATACAGTTCGCGAACCACCATGTATAGTTAAAGTCACGAGGGCCGCACGCGTTACTCAATGGTTCAGGAAAGTGTGCTTTATTCCACTATACATGGTGGTAGGCGAACTGTATTTCTTTTCTAAGATACCAAATTTAATACTTTCTAAGGATAATTATGATTACTTTAAGGCAGAAAACAAAACTGGTAGCTGTTCTATTTGATGTGTCTGCCCCCTACGATAAGACGAGCGTTTCCAGAAAAAAAAAATGATAACAGTTTATGGTTTCTGCGTTCAGATTAAAAACTTAGACAAAATATGAATAGCTTGCTCAAAACAATAGATAGGACTATAGATAGCAATTAGGTCACTCAGCCAGGTATGACGACAGACCGTTGACTCACCTGGCATGAAATGCACATCCTGCCAACAAGCACAAGGGGTCATCTCAATGATATTTTATGTTTTTTCATGTGTGTTGAATATGTCTCATCTATTGATCATAAAGTTTATGTTGAGATATGTAAAAGGGTATGATACCCATGGAAAAGCTTAAATCAGCCATCGATTAAATGTCTCAAAATATATAGGTGGCATGACCAACCAAGATCGACAGGACTGGATATGATTTCTAAATTGTTATGACATGCCGTTTGCTTCCCAGGTTTCCCTAAATGATTATCTTATCTCATACCGACCCCAACAACCGTCTGCGACACCCGTCCTGGATTTGCTTTTGAGACGACCCCTCCTACCTGTTTCTTTTTATTGTGATAGTGAGACTCCATGGTAGCTACATCCTTCATAGTTTCAGTATTAAAGTTATTATTTTTTACGTCAGCTATCGTTTATAATGAAGCTAAGTTTAATTTCAAAATGGAAATGGACATTTGATCAGGGAAATCAGCTGCTTTGTAGACATGAATGAATAGGTTAGAGCACCCTGAGGTGTGCCAAACATGTCAGTATCTTCCAGTGACATACAGTGATCTACAGAGAAGTCAACAACTCACAACTCAAAGAAAGAATTCAATGACAGGAAAGTTTTGACACGTCCCCCTTCAGCTGTGACACGTTTGAAGTGTGAGACAAACTGTCCGTCCAATGTTCAAACTGAGCTCAAGCACAATGACCTCACCTCACCTTGCTGTCATTTGTTTATAACATGGAGTATTCATCACCACCAGTTTGATACAGGAAATATTAACCAAGTTACAAATAGTCTTGGAAATATGTTACCATGGCTACTGCAGCACTGATTTGATATGAGATGTGGGGCAGTGGGGAGTTGGGGGGTTTAGTCCTCCTGTGTTACTATAGCAACACAGCAGGGTAGATGTAGGTACCTCCGAACTTCCTGTGTGTCACGAAGTTCTTGGAACAGGAAGTGAGTGACGAGGTTGAACCAGAGGCATGGCTCCTTCTGATGAGACAGGTCCTCTCGACTGCATTTCTCCTTCAGACTCTGAATAACATACAAGTAACACAAATACAGCAATGTACTTAAGAAATACAGTTCGCGAACCACCATGTATAGTTAAAGTACGAGGACGCTTGCACGTTATAATGGTTCAGGGCGAAAGTGTGCTTTATTCCACTATACATGGTGGTAGAGCGAACTGTATTTCTTTTCTAAGATGCCAAATTTAATACTTTCTAAGGATAATTATGATTACTTTAAGGCAGAAAACAAAACTGGCGCGCTGTTCTATTTGATGTGTCTGCCCCCCTACGTTAAGACGAACGTTTCCAGAAAAAAAAAATGATAACAGTTTATGGTTTACGTTCAGATTAAATATTTCTCTAAATGATTTTAAATACATCTGTGATTAAAGTAAACATTATAGGGGAATATGAATGTCGCATTTCTACTACCAACGTAAGTTTAGATCAGTACATCCAAATGAAGCTGAGTAGTCAAGCGACATTCCACGATTGCATTGTGGGAATGTAAACATTGCGAACGTTACCGTGTCGCTGAAAACTTGTGTGGAATTGAGACATTTTAACCGTCGTAAAACATAAATGTAATGTTTCCACCAGTGATGTTAGCTGCGTGAAGCAACTGCAAACCAAGAAACGGGATGCAACGGAGTAGTTTATTGTAGGAGGCTGTACGAGGTGATGACAACTGACATGCATCGTGACGTCGCTTACATTGTGATGTAATGCAAAAAGTGCACATTATTGTCTGATAAAGTACTGTCGGCGCCTTTGATCTTTCACCAAAGCATCTTAGAAGTACCGCACACAACTATACGAACAACCTCCATCCTCTCCACCATGATTTATCTAAGCAACATTACCTGAAGCTTGTGGCACGCAAATGAATAAAAATGCACTTTTTGTGCAAAACAAATTTGTGCTTTCAAGTTCTTATTGAGTTAGTTATTTCAATACAGAGGTAATACACTCATAGAAATGAATAAGGGAATACATAAAGTGCAAGTGTTCCTTTATTTATTTCCAGAATTTCACTCACAGTGCAATACATACCTTGTGAAGAAACCTGAAAAAAAATAAAGGAACACTTGTATTTTCATGTGTTCCCCTATTTGTTTCCATGAGTACATATGAACGATGATGTAATAACACAGGCTTTTTTCTGTGGTAAGCCTGATATAAAAATTACCAGCAAAATCATGTCCCCTCATATCATGTTGTGTAGTCATAGTTACCATGGCTGCACAGTATTACCAGTATCCATGTATACTACAATAAGCTTTACAAACCATACATATTGCACTATGTTTTCTGACAACCAGCATATTGGGTAATAAAAATGTATGCATTAAAATTTACACAGACTTTTATTCACATCTGATGTTTAAGTTCATAATTTATTGGCAAACCGGCATACTTTAATCTATAAAGTGTATTAAGAGGTAATCGAATACCTAACTATGCAACCTTATTTTGAGACTGCTGTTATCACAAACATAACATTTCTTTTTAGGGCCTTAGCATGTAGAAAATAGCATCTGCATGTACAGTCAGTGTAACTCACTGTCAAACACTTCCCGATATATCGCAATACACATCACAATATGCGTACAGAATCACACAGAATCGGGATATACAGCAATACAGTTTACTTGCCGATACACAGCAATTACTGAGTAATAATAATTACGACAGCCTTTGTCACATGTTGACATCACAACCATGTTTTCTGATGCCAAACATGTCCAGTCTCCAAGGATCATGTGGTTACACACAAAATCTGTCAGATGACACACATTTCTGGCAAATATTCATCTGACAGATATTAAATGAAAGAAATGAGACATGTTAGTTAGTTATTTGCTGTATTTAACGTCGCACGCACAACTAAGGTATTTCAACGATGGGGTAGTACACTTATTAAGAAATGACGTGGTACAAAAAATAGAAATTTTGAAAGTGTTACTACCCCAAAACTTTAAAAAAAAAAGAAGAATATTAAGGGAATTCTAAATGGGAGGCCGAATTAGAAAGATAAAAAATATGAAATAGGTAAAGAGTAAAAGAGATTTGGAATTTAATATAGATGTAGTATAATAAATGGTTATTGTTATTGTTTAAAAACATATTTATTAAGTAGTAGTTATTTGCTTTATTTAACGACGCACGCACAACTAAGGTATTTCGGCAATGGGGTAGTACACTTATTAAGAATTGAGGGGGAACAAAAACTAGAACACAATATATTAAGTGAATAATGATGAACATATAAAAGGTTAAAAGATGAAGGTGATGAGACATGATCCAGGAGACTGTTTATAAAATGTTTGATGTGGACGGATGACTTTGACACCAATAACCAGCCAGGTGAGAAGCTGCTACCTGACAATCAGCTGCTGGTGATGACACACCTGCCCCTCACCTGGAGCCAACCAGAATTATTATATCCAGGAGCAGGTGAAGTCTATTGTGTTCTAATTGCCACTAAATGTGGGGTAAAGGAGTCAATTGAGATCACACGTCACACATGGCTGGCTGACCATGTTAACATAACTCTTCACACCAGACCACAGACGTGTACTCAGCTGTCACTGGGCTCTATGTTGGAGCAGTGTGCGACATAGTTTCCAAATTTTGCTAGCCAGTCGGGCTAGCTATGCCTGAAAGTTACTAGCCCACAAAATAATTCACCAGCTCGAAATATAAATGCATGACACAGGTTTCATCATTAAGCTGCTAATATGATGAACATTTTTATCAGGCCATAACCTTGCATGATTTAAAAGTGTGTTATAAAGTGATATATTTACGAAATGACCCCATGAAAATTCACTAGCCAGTCGGGCCAGTGACTGGAGATTTACTGGCCTGACTGGATTTTCACTAGCCACGGGCTAGCGGGCCAGTGGATATTTCGGACACTGGTTGGAAGGGGTGTCAATGAATTCTGGCTCAGCAAGTGGATCAAGCTGGTAGTAGTCTGCTGTACAGGCTCCCACTCAATCCTCACTTGAAGAGTATGGAGACTGGAGAAACACTTCAGTTCCCGGGACCATTGTGGATGTTAATCATTTCACTGATTTATCTAGATCTGCTCACAGGCCAATGATAGCAAAATTTTCCTCTGAATTTACAATAAAAAATAAACAGTTTTGTTACAAAATTACCTTTGACCTTCCAAGATGTTTCGTGTTCCAAATTATCAGTTGTGGTTAACTAGAAGATTGCTCATGAGGCGTAAAACAGAACTTATTAACTCCCAAATTCTTTTACTCAAGATTAACTAAAGCTTAATATTCCTTTAATCATCATAAATCAAACTGCTGATTGCTTGTCAGCTATGCCTTAGTTATGTGAGTGAGAGAGTGAGCGAGTTGGGTTTTACGCCACTTTTAGTGATATTCCAGCAATATCATGGCAGGGGACACCAGAAATGAGCTTCACACATTGTACCCACGTGGGAAATGAACCTGGGTCTTCGGCGATGACGAGTGAACGCTTTAACCACTGGGCTACCCCACCGCTCCCTTAGTTACGTGTGTTTATTAAATTATGTATCATGACACATAGTAATACTAATAGAGTAATTAAAATAACTAGTACACTATGAATGTGATGTCACATTAATGAATTCAAACTACTGCTTCCTACGCCTACTGTTGACCAAACGAGGAAACTGAGGGTGTGGAAAAATACATCAGGATACCAGTAACCTATTTTTATGAAACAATACAATACACGATGCACAATTATTCTATATCGATGCAAGACGACACACTTGCTACTTGCTTAACAACACCCCCAGTGTTTTGTCAGTTGCAAGATGAATTGTAATCAGCGTTTCATTTTTACTAGAAAAACAGATGATACTGAACATACATCTACCATTAGCTCTTCCTTTAGAACCTGCTCAGAAATATTTAGTAAAAATGTTTTCACACAATCTGATGTAAATGTGTGAATGATCATACATATTGCATCATGAATTATGTATCGTGATACTGTAGTTGCTGTATTGTTTCACCCCTACCATGCCTACTGTACAGAGTTTGTTTAATTCACTAGTTCTCTGTGGCCACTTCATACAAGGCAGACATATCTAGGTTATCTGAGCGGATGACAAGTGAGAGAACACACCAATTTAGCATGAATTTATACAAATCAGCAATCACATTCAACAGAAACATCACTTGACCAATCAGTGAATTGGTGTGATCATTATGATCATGACCATTTTTTCCTATGAAAATGTGACTTTCAACTAACTAACATGGGTCCCAAATCTTGCAGTTTGTGAACAACTATAGCCACCGTCTTGCATCCTCAAAATGAAAAGCATCACATAGTGTGCTTTCAAAACAAAATCTTTCTGCAAAGTAGCAGTTGCCATGGTTACAGTGTGCTATGTTAGTGAGTGAGATTGGTTTAACACCACTTTAAGCTTGGGCTTTAAGCCTGAGTTTAGCAGTGTACAACAGATGCTGGCTCGACAGATGTCAACTGTACATCTGCTGCTACTGTTACATTATGGTTAGGTAGGAAAGGAGGTCACTCTGGTCAGGGGTCTTTTATTAATTAATTAGCTTACCAATGAAACTGAAACTGTCAGTGAACACTTAACAGTCTTATCATGCCACGTCACATCAAGATCAATGTCACTAATTGTCATCATGGAATGAAAATTCCCAAATATATCTCAAATATATGTTACGTCTGCCACATATTGTACTTGTCAGTGGTGTACACAAAGTACATGATCTACACTACCAGTTGTCTGACCACCATTTTTGTGGAAGCCACAGTGGCTGTGCGGCCTAGATCTCTAGATCGACTTTGTGTGCTGTCGATAAGGTGAGTGACTGAGAGTGTGGGTTCAAATCCTGGATGGGATTCAACCAAAGAAAAAGTACTAGAATCTGTCCTTTACTGAAAAAAGTGTAATCCCAAATAAAACATATGTCACATAATGTGTTTTAGTTCAGGAAAACCAACCCATGACAAGTATTCAAACAAATAAAATACAACAAAGAGGCCTTATGTAGGCAACCTAGGTTAGCATGTACACAGATGTTTCCATGAACACTGTTATATAGTGCTTCATACATTCAACTCTCAGAGACAAATAACCATGGTAACACAGTACAATTCTATATCAATAACTGATAATCACATCAACAATAATGTTCATCATTGTGTCTTGGAGATGAAAGCATGAGTCATGTATACTGCCATTAATATTATTACTCAGAATCAGATTTTACTTTGGTTTTTAGTGCTTTTCACTGCTTGATTGTATTTGAAAGTATTCATCAGAATCTGTGAGTGCAACATCTGTTGACCATTACAAGGAAAGTGTCTTCTCTCCACGTATGAGTAGTTCCATTAGGATCTGTCACCTACATCATGTACATATTGAGATGGTCGATCTGCCGTAAATGACACTCAAATAACAGTAAACTTGCACTTAAACACAGCAGGACGTATTGAGTTATAAAAGCAATAACCATATTTCTGACGACCAAAATCAATCGCTCGTCAACAGCAAAATATCGGTAACAGCTGATGTATATCTGTGTTATCGAATCTCCGTATACGATCGACCAGCCACTTACTTGGGGAATCTGAACTTTAGGGAACTGTTCCTTGACCGGTGGGGGCAAGGAGGGCAGCTGACCAAGCTTGCTCTTCACCCACAGAAATTGTAGAACCAGGGTCAGCGCTACCCCCAACAGCAACGACAGTACAGCAACCTCCAGCATATTTCAATCTTGCCGTTGGTCTCCGCCTGTCAATGATTCAAGCTGGCGAATGTCACTCGCCCTGCCTGGTCGATGGATCGCATCTCAGCTCTCAATACTGTTGCCATTACTTGGATTGGTTTCATTGACAAACGGATCTGGGTGGATTTCAAGAAAACCACACCATAAGTCCCGTATTGACACTCATTTCAAGATCAAAACAAACCCCATTCATATGTACGGCGCCATCTTGATTTTGATAGAAAATGGGAGTTACCTCCCTTAAAGCACCTGTTACTTGAGTTGAGTTGGTGGCAAATATGAAATATTTCTTTATCGTGACAAAGAAAGTTTATTCTAGTTGTATGGATTTACATTGCTGTATCAGTTTTCGAGTAAATGGGACTTTCAGTAATAATAGATGGGCATTTCAATTTTGAAGACAAAGAACTACTGATTCTCTAGTGTGTGTCTTACCAGAACATGACTGAGAAGCTATGGGCTGAAGCTGTCCTACAGAACTTTAGTGCATTATTGCTCTCCCTCCAGCCGACAGCTGCGATGGGGTCCTACAATCAAGAAGGCTAATGTCCCTGTATCTGTGAAAAACGTTCAGAATGGAACGGAATAAAACTGCAATAATGTTTACACCTACCATGTTACATTTACAAGAGCCTCATACTTGTTAGCTAATGCCCAGCTAACTCTTCATTTTATTTGTTTGTTTGCTGTTTAACGCGACAGTCAGTAATGTTCCAGCTATATGACGGCGATCTGTAAATAATCGAGTCTGGATCCCACCGTCCAGTATTTGTCATCATGAGAATCGACCTTTGCAATACAACACATGTAAATCATTGAAACGCTGGTATGACACTTATCAGACATGTCCAAATATTGGATAAATAGCTTACTTGCATTTGGTACACGTAAAAGTTTTGTCCATTATGACGTTATCAAGAACACAAATAGAGATTTGTTGGTAAGAAGAGTGTTCACTGGTTTATCTTTCGAATTTCAAGAGCTACTTCAGTGGTGAATGTTTTCATCTACATCGATTTCAGGTCGATTTCCTGCTGACAGAGAAATGTGAACGCATTATAAATGTATATATTTTATACGAGTCAGCCATTTTCCCATCAGCCGACTCGACCCCGCTCTTCACACCTACCTGTTGCCACGCTCTACACATCCATGTTGAGAAGCAGCCACCAAGTATAGACTGTACATAATGCTGTAGGATATTTGAAATCTAATGTGGGTGTGGCGGAGATGTTTAAGTGTCTGACACGGATATACAGTCGTCCCTGACAACTGCTTCTTCAGATTTATTATTGACATTGAAAGTAACGCCACTTGAGTGTAATCAGAATGATATTGATTCATGAACATTGCTAGGAAAGTTAGCTTTAGGAGGCTGGGAGCTGGTGGAAGTAGAAGATCGGCATGACCGACGCATGGGATAGTGTGGTGTCACAGCTGGAAACAGAAACATCCACTCGGCCTCAAATGTTGTTTTGTTTAAAAGAAAATTGACGGACGTGTGACTGACTGTGTGAGTGAGTTTGTTTTACGCCGCTTTTAGCAATATTCCAGCAACATCACGGTCGGGGACACCAGAAATGGGCTTCACACATCTTACCCATGTGGGGATTCGAACCCGGGTCTTCGGCATGGCGAGCCAACGCTTTAACCACTAGGCTACCCCACCGCCCCGACGGACGTGTGAGATTAATACAGCTAGTGATCATTATATCATTGTGACACCATGTTAATTTTCATTATTTTTGGATTGCAAAACAATGGTATATATTTCCTGTTCGACTTGCATTCGAAGTTTCCAGTTGCCTGGGTTCCTGGTGGGATACTCGTGAAGGTCCGGGTTAGAATATTGATCTTCAGCAACCCACGCTTGTCGTGAGAGGCGACTAAACGGGGTCGGGTTGTCAGGCTCGCTGACTTGGTTGACACATGTCATAGCATCACAGCTGCGTAGATTGATGCTCATGCTATTGATCACTGGATTGTCTGGTCCAGACTCGATTATTTACAGACCGCCGTCATATAGCTTGAATATTGCTGAGTGTGGCGGTAAAGAAACCAACCAACCAACCAACCTACCAACCAACCAAAGCTCGTGGTCATGTCTGCACTGTTGCACAGCCATCTTGTTCAACTTTCACAAACTTAAGTTTGCAGTAATGACATGGAACAATGTCAGTGTATTGATATGTTAATTCGAAAAGAATGGGCAGCTTCACAACAGAGTTGACGGAAAATCCGCAGGAAAAAACAAACAATTAAATAATACTCACAACCGGACGTTCCGCCTTCGTATTATCTGTTGTTCGTGATTAGATCGCGGGCTTTGCACAGATTGAATAAGCCATTTTCAATAGTCTGGTTTCACAATCCGCTTTAAACATGGAGTTGAGGTCTCCGTAAAGGAGGTCGCCCTTGCATCACTGCATGCGTCAATGTAATGGTCAAATATATTTGAGCCTATAATATTATGTATGTTTGTCCACAAGTAAGCTTTTAATCATTTGGTACCATATGATGTTTTTTGTATATCTCTCCAACCGGTCAGAGTGTTGCGTCGGTTGACCCGCCGTCTATTCTTAGATTTAGATTAAGAAAAGCCAGGGTTAGCTTTCAGAACACAATGCGAATTGTGAATACACCCACCAGTTAAATTCTGAAATTGACTTTTGCTATTAAGGATTATAACAGATTTTTTCCATGCAGCATGTCGGGCGCTGTGTGACTGCAGTGTGTGTTGTTTGACGCCGCGCGGTGGGAGTCTGTAAACAGCCGAGAAGCATCTCGAGCAGATATTATTAACAACGATACCTCGTGGTAGGTTAACTACATCCGTTTGGTCGACTCAGTGTGAGGCAAGTCAGCCAGCCTGACCACCAGATCTGTTTGGTCGAGTCACTGTGAGGCAAGTCAGCCAGCCTGCCCACCAGATCTGTTTGGTCGACTCACCGTGAGGCAAGTCAGCCAGCCTGACCACCAGATCTGTTTGGTCGACTCACTGTGAGGCAAGTCAGCCAGCCTGACCACCAGATCTGTTTGGTCGACTCACTGTGAGGCAAGTCCACCAGCCCGACCACCAGATCTGTTTGGTCGACTCACTGTGAGGCAAGTCCACCAGCCCGACCACCAGATCTGTTTGGTCGACTCACTGTGATGCAAGTCCACCAGCCTGACCACCAGATTTGTTTGGTCGACTCACTGTGAGGCAAGTCAGCCAGCCTGCCCACCAGATCTGTTTGGTCGACTCACTGTGATTCAAGTCAGCCAGCCTGCCCACCAGATCTGTTTGGTCGACTCACTGTGATGCAAGTCACCCAGCCTGACCACCAGATCTGTTTGGTCGACTCACTGTGAGGCAAGTCAGCCAGCCTGACCACCAGATCTGTTTGGTCGACTCACTGTGATGCAAGTCAACCTGCCCGACCACCAGATCTGATTGGTCGACTCAATGTGAGGCAAGTCCACCAGCCCGACCACCAGATCTGTTTGGTCGACTCACTGTGAGGCAAGTCAGCCAGCCTGCCCACCAGATCTGTTTGGTCGACTCACTGTGAGGCAAGTCAGCCTGCCCACCAGATCTGTTTGGTCGACTCACTGTGAGGCAAGACAGCCAGCCTGCCCACCAGATCTGTTTGGTCGACTCACTGTGGGGCAAGACAGCCAGCCTGCCCACCAGATCTGTTTGGTCGACTCACTGTGATGCAAGTCAGCCAGCCTGACCACCAGATCTGTTTGGTGGTCGACTGCCCACCACTGTGATTCAAGTCAGCACAGCCTGACCACCAGATCTGATTGGTCGACTCAATGTCAAGTCCACCAGCCCGACCACCAGATCTGATTGGTCGACTCACTGTGATGCAAGTCAACCAGCCCGACCACCAGATCTGTTTGGTCGACTCACTGTGATGCAAGTCAGCCAGCCTGACCACCAGATCTGTTTGGTCGACTCACTGTGAGGCAAGTCAACCAGCCTGACCACCAGATCTGTTTGGTCGACTCACTGTGAGGCAAGTCAGCCAGCCTGACCACCAGATCTGTTTGGTCGACTCACTGTGATGCAAGTCCACCAGCCTGACCACCAGATCTGTTTGGTCGACTCACTGTGAGGCAAGTCAGCCAGCCTGACCACCAGATCTGTTTGGTCGACTCACCGTGAGGCAAGTCAACCAGCCTGACCACCAGATCTGTTTGGTCGACTCACCGTGAGGCAAGTCAGCCAGCCTGACCACCAGATCTGTTTGGTCGACTCACTGTGAGGCAAGTCAACCAGCCCGACCACCAGATCTGTTTGGTCGACTCACCGTGAGGCAAGTCACCCAGCCTGACCACCAGATCTGTTTGGTCGACTCACTGTGATGCAAGTCCACCAGCCTGACCACCAGATCTGTTTGGTCGACTCACCGTGAGGCAAGTCAACCAGCCTGACCACCAGATCTGTTTGGTCGACTCACCGTGAGGCAAGTCAACCAGCCTGACCACCAGATCTGTTTGGTCGACTCACTGTGATTCAAGTCAAGCCAGCCTGACCACCAGATCTGTTTGGTCGACTCACTTTGAGGCAAGTCCACCAGCCTCACTGCAGATCAGTTTTGCCAGACGCAGCCGTATTGTCATGCGTATAGATAATTGAAGGTGAGGTTATTATGTAAAAGTATATATCTAACTTACATCCCAACTACCAGATCAGGCCACAACCGTGAGACTAGAAAGACATTGTATGTATGTTTCAGTGACTAGCAACTGAAAAACCTGCATATGAAATTTTGCACATTGATTATATTTTGTACTTTGTTGTGTGTCAAGTTCTTTCCCACAATTGTTTTAAATGTCCCTTTCTGTGACTGCGCTGTATGCACTGTGTTTACAGGTCGGACTCGAGTGGAAAGGACGGCAGAGTTCTTATATGGAGTATTGGAAAGGACGTTCTTATATGGAGAGTTCTTATATGGAGTATAATTGATGACGTATGCACACTAGACGAGCAGATTTGATACTTGGGACTTGAGATAAAAACAATGCTTGTGTTTGCTGGGCAACACTTTGAATGTATGTTCAGATGAGTGTAGGATTCATTTCTGGAGCTCTCATTTCTGCATAAACTGAACTGTAAGTGAAACTTTACAGACGATCAGACAAGGTCTGAACTGTGCCCTTTGCTATCAGGGTATTTTGAAGGCAAAACATGGCCTCTGGTCTGA